ACATACTCAGGTACTATAGTAGCACCGACATTTCTTTACAACCTATCCTCATGTCATTCTTTGCCTACCTCTAACTCCCCTCCACTCCACATTCATTCGTGTATCTCTTGACCCAGTTAGTTTCCTCCTTTCTCTCCTGAACCATCTCAGTTTAGCCTCCAGGTACTGTACTTCTCTCTGTTGTCAACCATCTTCCACATCTCACATAATCTTCTTTTCTCTTTTTATCTCTCTTTCCACTTCATCATTCCCGCCATCAACCACACTCAACGGAACATCTTTTATTATGGCCTCTCAACTCACAAGAAAATGCTTCCTTTACATTCAGTTCCTTCACAATTCCAACACTCTCCTTCTTGGAACATCCACCTTCTTCCTCTCCCTCCATCTTTAAGTAACACACACAAGCAACCTGTTCTAATTTCCTGACCAAAATGTAGCCAATCTGGGTTTCTGTGCCACCTGCCTTAGGCCTACATGGTCAGCCTACTTGCCCTATTCTTAAACACATGTTACATACCATCCCCAAACTCAAGTGTTCTTTCACCTTCAGTATTCCTTATTCCAAAGCCTTTCCCACCACGCACAACTTCCTTACCCAGCGCGAAAAATTTGGACAATAAAAATAGTTTGTTTTAACGGAGATCACAACATTATAAACTGTATCTCCTAAAACAACATTAACTGCCATGGCTATAACAGAATAACTGCCGCTTAAGTCACTCAACAGATTTTACGACAACATTAAATGACACCGAACTAATGAGATAGAATTCCTTAACGAATAATAAAATGTATTTACAGTTTAGTTTAACCTAAATGGTAAATATATGTAAAGTACCTGAATGGTTCAACAGTCTCACTAAATCTTATTAATTCTAAAGTCCTTAAAAACACAAAAGGATATAATTTTGTTCTTTAATTTCAAATCATATTGTGATGGCATTCTAAGTCCAGGTAAATTTAAGATAAATTTAGCCAAATTATACCTGGATAAACAGTGAGATATAAAGGTGTTCATGGTTTATAATTAAAATAAGACAAATTGTCAATCTTCCAGAGCCACAGCTAAACACCTCAGTTTAATATTGACCTCCACCTCACACTGGCTCACACTACAACAGAGTAACACCTGTGATGAAACAACATTATCAGGGAAAAGATCAAAATATTTACATACACTAGACCACTTTAGATAGATAGATATATATTTATTATGTAAACTTATCATATAAGTTTACAATTGGTTCAACCTGCATATAGACAATGTAGGTATACAGTTCAGCATGTATATAGCCAATACAGGTATACAGTTCACCATGTATATAGACAATACTGTATAGGTATACAGTTCAGTATATTGTATTAGCCTCTCACATTAATATTATATAAATATGAGCTAAGGGCATATATTCATTATACTGTATATATTCTATCACCCAGACTATTGAGCATACAGCTACATAAGGATTTGTTCTGTCACACCTCCTAGGGTGTAGAACCCATAAACATTTGTTCTGTCACACCTTCTAGGGTGTACAGCCCATAAACATTTGTTCTGCCACACCTCCTTGGGTGTACAGCCTATAAACATTTGTTCTGTCACACCTCCTAGGGTGTACAGCCCATAAACATTTCTTCTGTCACACCTCCTTGGGTGTACAGCCTATAAACATTTGTTCTGCCACACCTCCTAGGGTGTACAGCCCATAAACATTTCTTCTGTCACACCTCCTAGGGTGTACAGCCCATAAACATGTGTTCTGCCACACCTCCTTGGGTGTACAGCCTATAAACATTTGTTCTGCCACACCTCCTAGGGTGTACAGCCCATAAACATTTCTTCTGTCACACCTCCTTGGGTGTACAGCCTATAAACATTTGTTCTGCCACACCTCCTAGGGTGTACAGCCCATTAAACTACAGACTCAACCCTCAGTGTGTGGTAGGCTGTTTAGTTAATTACCTGTTGAAGTGTGATTACTGTCCAGTCACCAGACTCAAGAGAGTTCAGCCCAGTTCACAGCCCGACACGATGCCCTAAAGTCGTGTCGTGAGACTAGCTCTCTGGGCTGTACCTCTCTCTAAATATATCAGCTAATTACAAGCCAATAGCTAATGCTCATTAGTTTGTCAATACCAAATAATTGTACAGACATTAAAATAATAATGATAATAGTAATAACATTACTACTAGTAATAATACTACTACTACTACTAATAATAATAATAATAATAATAATAATAATAATACTAATAATAATAATAATAATAATAATAATAATAATAATAATAATAATAATAATAAAGAACCTTAAACAAATACAAAAATTAGAAAAAAATCAAGTGATCTCTTTTTCTTTTTTGTATTCATCATCATCATCATCATTATCATTATCATCATCATCATCATCATCATCATCATCATCATCATCATCATCATCACCCCTCGCCCCCAGGCCCAGGTGTGGGTCAGTGGTCGGGTGGGCTAATCCCTCACCCTAAACGAAAAACAAAAACAAAAAAACATACCCTCACCTTATTTAACCTCATTAACCCTATATCCTAACCTTGTCCTCATATATATTAACTCCTTATACTCTTACCTTTTTATTCTAGGTAGTAATTAGTGGTTAAATAGTCCACAACTCACGAAAATCGCCTCTAAATATGGTAGTCGTGGGGTCACCTCCTTCCACATAACAAGTCGCTCTTTCACATCCGCTAAACGTCTCTATTATCATGAACACTTTCCATGGCTTATTTTTTCTCTCTCTAATAAAACAAATCCTTATTGATTTTATTGTGGTTTTAATTACATAATCTACTTTTATTTCATCCTAGAATAGGTTAGGTGTATTAATATTCTATTGCTTAAAAAATAGTAAATGTTATCTCACCGGATAAGATTAATTTTTCTATCTACAGACCAAGCACAATAAACCTAACTATATTTAATAAATTCTAAATCACAAATAATATTCTTAATCATAGTTTGCATAAGTTAGCTTCAATTAATTCGAATAAGGAGACAACTAAAAAAAGTGTTAGCCATTTTAGTAATAGTATATTTGTATTTTGTTCACTGGAGATACTTTTCCCAGTATGATTGATCTTTTATAATAAATAAGCTAGGCCTCACCATTTCCTCTAATATGCCATGGAAGTCACGCATCCACAACATTGCTAAAGCTGCCTCCCGAAAGCTGGGAATGCTGTACAGATGCCGTAGCTATTTCACTCCTGAGCATTGCTTTAAGTTTATAAGGGATTCATTCGTCCTAACTTGGATTACTGTTCTCATATCTTGGGTGGCTCTTCTGTCCAACTGTTAGACAGGATGGAATCAAACGCATTTCGTTTTATTGATTCACCTCCTTTAGTTGATAATCTCTCTTCCCTTTCTTTTCGCCGCAATGTTGCTTCATTATCTCTCTTTTACAGGTACTTTAATTTTACGGACAATGTTCGGTGGATTTGGCATCCTGTGTACCGCCGGCAAGGCCGTGGGCTCGTAACACTCGTCTTGCCCACAGTACCCACCTTTTCTGTGTGGGTGTTGGTCACACTAGAATAACCCGTTATAGTACATCCTTCTTTCCTCACACAGCCAAACTGTGGAATGCTCTGCCTTCTGTGTTTCCATACTCTTACATTGTCTCACTTCAAAAAGCTGGCTTTCCGGCATCTTCGTGGTGTAGATTAAAATACTGTACAGTAGTCTTTTTCTTTTCTCTTTTTAATTTCTCTTTACTCTTATCCCTCCCCCCCGCCCTCCGGCCCCGTAGTGGGTCGATGACCTGTGCCGGGGGGGGCTAATCCCCGTAAAAATATGTATCTATCTATCTACAGTATCTATCTATCTATTTATCTATCTATCTATATACAGTATCTATCTATCTATCTATCTATCTTTCTAATTATCTATCTATCTACCTATCTATCTATCTATCTAATTATCTATATCTATCTATATCTATCTATCTATCTATCTATCTACAGTATCTATCTATCTATCTATCTATCTAATTATCTATCTATCTACAGTATCTATCTATCTATCTATCTATCTATTTAATTATCTCTATATCTATCTATCGATCTATCTATCTATCTACAGTATCTATCGATCTATCTATCTATCTATCCATCTCTCTCTTTATACACAGCCCATAGCAGGAGGCTACAGTACAGACACATTGTACCTAACTCTTGATCTGTTTTACTTTGTTATTTACTTTTATATTTATTCATACCGTAGTGCAAAGATTATTATATCATTATGTTACACCACAGAGGGCGACAGGTCTAGTCACAACACTATGCGATCGGGACCAGATTGAGACATTAAGCTAGGATTCTATATATACAGGGTGTGTGAGAGGCAGGGTGTGTGAGGCAGGGTGTGAGAGGCAGGGTGTGTGAGGCAGGGTGTGAGAGGCAGGGTGTGTGAGGCAGGGTGTGAGGGCAGGCAGGTGTGTGGGAGGCAGGGTGTGTGAGGAGGTGAGGAGGCAGGTGTGGGAGGCAGGGTGGGGAGGCAGGGTGGAGGCAGGTGAGGGAGAGGCAGGGTGTGGAGGAGAGGGCAGGGTGGGAGAGAGAGAGGCAGGGTGTGTGTGGGGAGAGGTAGGTGTGTGGGAGAGGTAGGTGTAGAGGCAGGGGTGTGTGGGAGGCAGGGGTGGGAGAGGCAGGGGTGTGTGGGAGAGGGGTGTGAGGCAGGTGTGTGAGGCAGGGTGTAGAGAGGTAGGTGATGGAGGCAGGTGTGAGAGGCAGGGTGAGAGAGGCAGGGTGTGTGAGGCAGGTGTGAGAGAGGCAGGGTGGAGAGGCAGGTGTGGAGAGGCAGGGGTGGAGATAGGAGAGGTGGGTGTGAGAAAGGGCAGGGTGTGAGAGAGGCAGGGTGTGAGAGAGAGGGGCAGGGTGTGTGAGAGAGAGAGAGAGAGAGAGAGAGAGAGAGAGAGAGAGAGAGAGAGAGAGAGAGAGAGAGGCAGGAGGACCTCAGTATTGATCACGACGTTGGTGTGTGCGCGCGTGGCAGACAGTATCTCCTGGTCCCGGGATGTTAATATGTACTTCAAGTGAGTCACATGGGTGTTCATCACCACAAACCTGCCTGTCACATCTGCCCACCTGTTCTACATCTGTTAAAAAAGTGTAATCAAATCCTAAATGTATTTCTTCAAACGATAGCGTACCTGCACTCAGTCTGGATCTCGTTCAACGACCTAACAACATTATCTCGACAAAACACGAGCTGTCTTTTCATAATTTAACTGATATAAATCAAGATTAGTGTGATGAGCACAGAGGAGGTGACAGAGGTGTTCAAGGAAGTGTATCCCAGTGGCGGAGGGCAGACATGTTGGTACTACCAGCTGGTTTCTACTGCCACGCATAATTTCGGTGCCATACTGGTCAGAGTGAGATAGACGTGTGTTGACGACGAGGACAGAGAACTGGTCAGAGTGAGATAGACGTGTGTTGACGAGGACAGAGAACTGGTCAGAGTGAGATAGACGTGTGTTGACGACGAGGACAGAGAACTGGTCAGAGTGAGATAGACGTGTGTTGACGAGGACAGAGAACTCTGGTCGGGGAAAGAAAAAATATGGCCATTCCCCTCGGCAATGACTTACCAAAGACTGCTATTAAATGTGAGCTTTGACTGACTGTCATTGTCAGTGAGGGCTGTCATCGGACAATGAGAGATGTAATTTATCAGTGAGGGCTGTCATTTATCAATGCGAGCTGTCATCTGCCATTGAGGGCAGTCATCTGTCAATGAGGGCTGTCATCTGTCAGTGTGGACTGTCATTTGTCAGTGAGGGATGTCATCTGTCAGTGAGAGTTGTCATCTGTCGGTGAGGGCTGTCATCTGTCAGTGAAGAATGTCATCTGTCAGTGGGGGCTGTCATCTGTCAGTGAGGGCTGGTATTTGTCAGTGAGGGCTGTCATCTGTCAGTGAGAGTTGTCATCTGTCGGTGAGGGCTGTCATGTGTCAGTGAGGGCTGTCATGTGTCAGTGAGTGAGCTGTCATCTGTCGATGATGGTTGTCATCTGTCAGTGAGGGTTGTCATCTGTCAGTGAGGGTTGTCATCTGTCAGTGTGGACTGTCATCTGTCATTGAGGGCTGTCATCTGTCAGTGAGGGCTGTCATCTGTCAGTGAGGGTTGTCCTCTGTCAGTATGGACTGTCATCTGTCAGTGAGGGCTGTCATCTGTCAGTGAGGGCTGAAATCTGTCAGTGAGGGCTGTCATTTGTCAACGAGACTGTCATCTGTCAGTGAGGGCTGTCATCTGTCAGTGATGGCTGTCATCTATCAGTGAGGGCTGTCATCTGACAGTGAGGGCTGTCATCTGCCAGTGTGGACTGTCATCTGTCAGTGAGGGCTGTCATCTGTCGGTGAGGGTTGTCATCTGTCAGTATGGACTGTCATCTGTCAGTGAGGTCTGTCATCTGTCAGTGAGGGCTGTCATCTGTCAGTGCGGCTGTCTGTCATCAGTCAGTGAGGTCTGTCATCTGTCAGTGTGGGCTGTCATCTGTCAGTGTGGGCTGTCATCTGTCAGTGAGGGCTGTCATCTGTCAGTAAGGTCTGTCATCTGTCAGTGAGGTCTGTCATCTGTTAGTGAGGGCTGTCATCTGTCAGTATAGACTGTCATCTGTCAGTGAGGGCTGTCATCTGTCAGTGAGGGCTGTCATCTGTCAGTGAGGTCTGTCATCTGTCAGTGAGGGCTGTCAATGTCATTCAAAATAAGACGCAATATTGTTTTTACTGACAAAATTACTGACAAAGGAAGGTCTTTAAAATTTGCTCAGAAATTCTGTCAAATGTAACCATATTTCCCCCAGTAAACTAGACAGAAAGATCACGACAACTACAGTATGTAATATAAAGACTGGTGAAGACCTGGGATATTGTTAGCATGTTACAAGTGGAAACTGTGATCTAGAGAAAACGGCTTTGACGCCAGGCATAGGATCGGAGCTCCTCAGCATGGCGTGGTTAGTGGTGCCCGATGGCTGCTCCACCAGGGACCTCTAAGCGCCATCCTAGATCCATAGGACCTTTGGAGGCCGGGATGAAGAAGCTAGCACTAGGGAAACGACTGCTGGCGGTCGTTGTGGGCCTGTGTGTCGTGGCCAGAGCAGGTGAGTCGTGTTGGCGTCGTGTTTGACCAGTAATATACCTGGACATGTTGATATACTGATTAAAAGTATGTGAGAGAGAGACAGTGAGAGAGAAAGGGAAGTAGATGCTGGAATGGACACGTATTGGTTGGTCTGGCTGTCACTTCTTGTTCAGTAAACAATGAGTGACAGTGCTCCAGTAACTGTTTTGTCTTACAGGCAGCAAACCGGTGTACAGTCCCACGTCTAGCTGGGCCAGTGGGCAGCAGGGTCTGGCGCCTGAGAGTGGAGAACAGTATCAGCGGGGCGGCCTCCGTACCTTGTCCCGCCCAATACACTTTCTGTCTCGCCCTGATGACCGCTATACTCAGCGTCACCAGTACACCTACAGCGGCTACCCGCAACACAGCATGGAGGTCAAGGCTTCCCCTCAGCTGGACTACGGGTTAGATCAATCCTACCAGAGCGAGGTTAATATTTACGAGTACTCGTACACGGAGAGCAGCACCTACGGCAGCCCTAGTAAGAAGTATAACCGGGGAGGTGGCCGGCGGGTGGTTTCTTCTGGGGTGGTAGATCTCCCTAGGCGTGTTTGGTGGCCAGGCGTTCCCATGCCAGTCCTCTCCGCCCGCGGGGACACGTACATCCCCAGGGTCATCACGCCACAGGGGCAGCAGGGACGACCCGTCACCTCCCAGCACTATCGGGAACGACCCATCGAGAAAAAAGACGGAGAGGATCCAGAGACGTTTCTATACGGCTCCAGTGGAAGCGAGGACCACAAGCCTCCCGCCAGTGCCAACCTCGTGGTGCAGAACGACTCGCTCAGCGGGATGGTGAGGGTGCAAAAGTCACTCCAGCCGTCGCGCGACACGGCTGGCTACGTCCAAGACTTCCCCGCCGTGCCCATAGCTCTCCTCAGCACAACACCCTCCGCGCCCGGCAACCTACACCCCAGACAGCCTGGGAGATTCGACTCCCTTCTGAAGATGATGAACCAAGTGGACGAAAGTTCGCAGGATAAATCAATAAATAACCCCGACGCCGTTGACCCCGGAGCTCCTACAGCTAAACAGGAGCCTAACAAAGAAGTGCCAGTGGATGTGAACAACAACAGCAACAAGAGGAGGGGTAACAACAACAGCAGCAGTAAGGACGGGCCACAGCAGGTACTCCCGAGAGTGGGGGAGGGGAAGGGACCAGACCACCCCCACGTTACCACCACCGCTGTGTTGGGCTCAGTCATGCTGCTCATCATCCTGGTTGTGGTAAGTAGCGTTATTATGTTGTTTCCTCTATCACACATCTATTATGTACGTTTACACACACACACATATATACGACAAACGTAAATACACATATTACGTAAGTAACACACACACACAGGTAGAAGTCATCTTGCATGTATTATTTATTTATTTATTTTTTAACTGGGATTAGCCCACCCGGGCACAGGTTACTGACCCACATCGGGGCCTTGGGGGCGAAGATGTAATAATAATAATAATAATAATAATAATAATAATAATAATAATAATAATAATAATAATAAGCAATAATAATAAAGAACCATAAATAAAAAATAAGATCAAGAGAATGGAACGATATATATATATATATATATATATATATATATATATATATATATATATATATATATATATATATATATATATATATATATATATATATATATATGTGTGTGTGTGTGTGTGTGTGTGTGTATGTTGTGTTGTCAATAGTAAGAGAAACAATTGAGACCCTGCAATTGTGTGTAAATGAAGCAGAAAATCAGATCAGCAACCTGGGACTTGGTCACAATTTTTGTGATGCCATTATGACAGCAGGGTCTACCATTAGATAATACATTACACTTCCAATATCTTTCCCGGCGGTAGTACCTCCCTGTTTGATAGCTGCCTACTGCCTGCTGCTCAATATACATCAATACATCAAGCATACTGTAGATCTTAACAACACCAACAGTTGCCAACATACCAGTGTAAACTGTAGCCAGACAAACAAAATAAAGCGCGTAAATTATATATGTACTGTACAAATATAAATCAGAAAATTATAAATCTATATTATATAAATTTATATTATTTTTTATTGTAAGAACAGTAAAAAAATGTTTAATATGTATAACGATGTCAACAAAATAAAGTGTATGAAAAAGTTGCGAATAATAATGATCGCTGTTTATAGACAAGTAAAACATGCCCAAAATTACATAGAATATATAAATGGAAAAAAGGGTAAAGGTGTAAAAGAATATGTAAATTTTGTATAAATAAATATTATGAAAAAAGTGTAAATTGTAAATAAGCACAGTATATAAAATATGCGAAATATTATTCAAGAATATTTCATAAAATTAAAAAAAAATATATATATATTTTCGGTATGTACTGTAGGCAATATTTTTTTTAATTCAAGTAATAACATATGTAAAAATGTAAACAACCAAGTATAGTAAATAAAAGTGTAATGTACTGTACAGGTGATGGTGGCTCTCCGCGTACAGTGGCGAGACAGAGTGAAGGGTGAGACAGACTGGCCCGTCAGGTCACCTACTGTTCACCCGCCTACCCCTGCCCCCACCAGTACTGCCCCCTCGCTAACCCCCCACCACCTCCATCCCCTCACACACCTCCAAGCCGAGCCCATCAGGATCAAGGTAAATACGATTATAAGTGCCCATTAGGATCTAGGTATGATTAAGTGCCCATCAGGTTTAAGGTGTGACTAAGTGCCCATTAGGATCTAGGTATGATTAAGTGCCCATCAGGTTCAAGGCATGACCAAGTGCCCATCAGGTTCAAGGCATGACCAAGTGCCCATTAGGTTCAAGGTATGACTAAGTGCCCATCAGGTTTAAGGTGTGACTAAGTGCCCATCAGGTTCAAGGTATGACTACGTGCCCATCAGGTTCAAGGCATGACTAAGTGCCCATCATGTTCAAGGTATGACTAAGTGCCCATCATGTTCAAGGTATGACTCTATGCTTCCCAATCAGGATAATTTAGTACCCATTAAAATCAAGGTCTTAAGGTAAGAGTCAACCATGGTCTCATTAAACCAATCAGGAAGACGGAACGAGACTGAGCCAATCAGAAAGAAGGTGTGATGTAATCTTAAAGGTGAAGGTGCGAGAGAATCTATCAGGAACAAAGTTCGAGAAGTAAGCCAATCAGATTCGAGGTCTTAAAACATGATTGGTGTGGATTATCTTTTCACATGGTGGAAGATGTTCACACCACTACAGTACTGATGTATACCGACCGTACTGTACCGTACTGTACTGTACATTAACCGTGCAGGTACTGTCCATGATATCCCCAAAAGTATGTTTAAAGTTTATTTTCACAGAACTAACGATAAGTTCAGATTTTTATAGCTCTCTTATACTTAAACCAGTTTCAGGAACTTGATAATATAATGCAATTGTTCGTTTTAAAAGAATTTGCTCGTTGCGTTGCAGGCGAAGGGTCTGCTGGAGCGGAGGGGTTCCAACACAAGCCTCACCCTAGAGTTGGCGCCTAACTGTCCGCCTCCTGAAGTTACGTCGCCACCCAGACACTGGTATGATGCTCCCCATCACCTGCCCTGTATTCTAGACCAAATGGCACTACAACCGGAGGTTACTGGTCACATTTCTATTTTACTGTATATGCTGTTATAAATCTTATATATTCAATTCTTTAATATCAATCACCATTTTCCACTTCGACGTCTCACCTACAGTATTCCTAGTTTCTTCAGATTGCATATCTCAACGTGGGGTCCATGACAAAATCCCCTAGGACAAAAACCCCAGGACAAAATCTCTACCGGACAAAATCCCCTAGGACAAAAACCCCAGGACTAAATCCCTGCCGGACAAAAACCCCTAGGACAAAAACTCCACCTCGACCGGACAAAAACTCCATCTCTACTGGACCCTAACCTAACCTAACGTTAAATGAAATTTGTATGAAAAATAGAAACGAGATATCTAGCTTCCGACTGTATTCAAAGACTGCTTAAGGAAAACTGAATTAGTGCACAAGTGAACAAGGCTTTTATACAGTTCGTCTCATGGTCCCACACGTCATTAAACAGACCTGAGAGACCAGAGAGTGTGAGGTCACGGGTCCCCTGAGGTCTCAACAAGTGAGGACAGTAATGGTAAGATCTAATATCAAAGTGGATTTGTAAGAAAATTATTGAAAACTTTAAACAAATTCCGTTTTATTTTTTTACTATGTGAGGTTTTTGTCCGGTAGGGGTGAGGATTTTGTCCGGTGGGGCTTTTGTCCGGTGGGGATTTTGTCCGTATCCCCTCAGCGCAGGGGTGGGCAAAGTGCGGCCCGCGGGCCACATTTGGCCCGCCAAATTATTTCTGTGGCCCGCCACTGCATTTGGCAATCAGAAAAAAAAATTCTTATTAATTACAGAAAGGACAATTTTGGAAGTTGGGTGGACATAGCAGCAATACTGGCTCGTCGCTGTTAACCTGTGGCCCGCGCAGTGTGCCACCATTCATGAAGTGGCCCTCCATCAAAAATAATTGCCCACCCCTGCCTCAGCGGCTTAGTCTAAAGGGTTTCCCCTTAATCTAAATGAGTGACTTGAGAAGGAAAATCTAAGAATAAATACTTAGTAAGTTGAAAGGTAGTCAGAGTTAGAGACCAATACTGTATTGAATATCTCGCAAAATAAATCTCATCATTAAATGGTTGGGAGAAGGATATCTTACGTCTAAATAAAAATTTAATTATAACAAAAAGTTCCAAACAAAATGTAGTTTTAACAATATTCAAGAATCAAAGACAATGATCACCGATAGAACAGGAGTGACAATTATTGTAATTGTCTCCAAACAGAACAGACGTGGGATGAAAACGGTAGAAACTGACTTCCTGAATAAGCACTAGTCAAGTCACTTGCTAAGATAAACCAAGTAGAGTTTGGATTGGTAACAACTCAAGTGACTCGACACAATATAAAATAAACCAAGGTAGATTCCAGACAGCTTAGCTATGTAGATAATAAGACAAACTGTAACATTGACTGTTCACTTAAACCCATTAACGTCAGTATTAACCTAGATTAACTTTCCATACCAGACAGCAGTAGTAACATCTACACTTGAGTTATATCGCTGCAGTTAACATAACTTCTAACTTCACCTTCAATATTGTGCTGTACTTCTCGAAAACTTAGTAATCATGACTTACAGTATAATAATCATGTGGTATGACTTGGGAGACCAACAGTCGTGAGTAGATCAAAGAGATAGACTTGTACTTCCCATAAATCGCAGAGTACAGTACAGTATATACAGTACAGTACAGTACAGTATATACAGTACAGTACAGTACAGTATATACAGTACAGTACAGTACAGTATATACAGTACAGTACAGTATATACAGTACAGTACAGTATATACAGTACAGTACAGTATATACAGTACAGTACAGTACAGTATATACAGTACAGTACAGTATATACAGTACAGTACCGTCATGGTAGGACAAGAAATTCTGGGAAATTCCTGGTTGGTGCAGTAGATTATTACAATGTGAGTAGTAGCGACAACCAAACAAGTTTCCATGACAGATGTTTTACCAGCAGTTCACGACAGAGGATGAACAACTGCCTCACGTATAACATAACAGTGGAGTCTACTACATAAGTTACATATAACCGGAATACGTAACTCATTTTATTCTTTGGGCTATTTTTCAAATAAAACGAATTTGGGCAAACTATATTATGTGTACTGATTATAATACAGAATATCTTCCTAGATTTATATATATTACGAGTTGTTTTGGGGAGAGAATCTAGAAAAAAAGAAAACTTGGGCTCTGGATTTTCAGAGATTCGGAAGTAGACTACAGTACTGTATCCTCCTTCTTGGACTGTACACTGTACTGTATATACATACATACATTCAGTAAGATTTCTGATGTATTTTAGTGGTATGATACTTTAGTTTATGAGCCAGACGAACGAGTTCCTACTGTACATCTACAGTTGACAGAAATATGCAACGTGCGAGTTGACAGACAGACAGACAGACAGACAGTGGTTGTATTGTGGCAACAGAAACAAAGGGTCAAAGAGATAACTTTGCTCGTGACGTTTCGTTACGAAGGACGTTATCAAAGGACAAAACGTCAGGATTAAAGCTATCCAAATGAATACTATTGTACTTACATAGATATACTGTGTAGAGATAAACAGATTCAGTAAAATCATATAAATCCACACCGGTTCATCATGTACAGTATGTCGACAGTACAGGCGTATAAACAAGAGTAAGTCGATTTACCTAAGGCTGCCCCAAACTAAAGGATATAAGCTTATCTCCAATAGTGTCCCATAGATTTAAGTGCATTCAAATATCGAATGATTGGGTTGCATTAAAGATGTTATCTGTGCCGTGTTTGTGTGCAGCACCCCGGAAGAGTTCTTGATGACGGCGGGGAATAGAATGAGTCGTCGACAGCTGCGACAGTGTCTCAAGGAGGTGAGGACCCTCCACACTGAGTTCTGGGAGGTTCCCCTCAACCACCCCGACAAGTAAGTCCAATGACTCTTTTTGTTTTGTTTTTCAGGGATCATAATTATTATAAGTACCTGTAACTGCAACAAACAGACCATACAAAGGAATCACAACTATATTGGTTTCATGTCTTTATACATCTTTCTCCCTTCCTCCCCTCCACTCCTTCATTCTCATTTTCTCACTCTTTCTTTGTTTAATTTTTCTTTCCCTTCATCTCCTTCCCCTTCCGTGTTTCTTCCTTACCCCTCCCCCCCCTCAGGTGTGACGTGCCCGGGTCAGCGTGCAAGAACAGATATCGAACAGTGCTACCTAACGAGGGCAGCCGCGTCCACCTGCACACAGGTGACCCCACGAGCGAGTACATCAACGCTAACTTCGTCAGGGTAAGAACCTCTCTCCCACAACCTCGATATTGTTATTGAGATGGGACTATATAAACGGTACCAAGTGTATTAAGTGTATCAGGTGTATTAAGTGTATCAGGTGTATTAAGTGTATCAGGTGTATTAAGTGTATCAGGTGTATTAAGTGTATCAGGTGTATTAAGTGTATCAGGTGAATTAAGTATAAAGGTGTAATTTGTCTCTCGCCAGGGATATGACGGAGAGGAACGAGCGTACATCGTGACTCAGGGTCCACTGGCTCACACCGTGGTGGACCTGTGGCAGCTGGTGATGCAAGAGCGAGCCCCCGCCCTGGTCATGATCACCAGACTGAAGGAGAAGCAGAGGGTGAAGTGCGAGCCCTACGTACCCGTTCACACGGCCACGTACGGTGACATCACTGTCACAGTGAAGCAAGTGATACAAAAGAGTGGCTACACCATCAGGAGATTACTTCTACAGGTGGGTAGTGAGGAAGAGAGGGTTAAGCTGGAGGATGGAAGGAAGAGAGGAAGGATTAAACTGGAGGATGGAAGGAAGAGAGGGAGGATTAAGCTGGAGGATGGAAGGAAGAGAGGGAGGATTAAGCTGGAGGATGGAAGGAAGAGAGGGAGGATTAAGCTGGAGGATGGAAGGAAGAGAGGGAGGATTAAGCTGGAGGATGGAAGGAAGAGAGGGAGGATTAAGCTGGAGGATGGAAGGAAGAGAGGGAGGATTAAGCTGGAGGATGGAAGGAAGAGAGGGAGGATTAAGCTGGAGGATGGAAGGAAGAGAGGAAGGATTAAGCTGGAGGATGGAAGGAAGAGAGGGAGGATTTAGCTGGAGGATGGAAGGAAGAGAGGGAGGATTAAGCTGGAGGATGGAAGGAAGGGGGGAGGATTAAGCTTGAGGATGGAAGGAAGGGTTAAGCTAGAGAGTACCGTGTGGTGTGACTAAGACTTGTTGTTCACATAAGCGTGGGGAGGAAGGACACGAGACTCTACACTTCTGGTACACCGCTTGGCCAGACCACAAGGCCCCCGCTGAGGCTGACCAGCTGCTGGCCATGGCGCTCCAGGTAGAAAACGTCAGAAAGGTAAGTTATTTCTAAGATCATTTCTTGAACCTTGTCCTTAATTTGAGCTTTGTTATTTGTACTGAATTCCCAAGTTTCATCAAACTCTTTCGATTATCAACTTTGGTCACTAACATAGATCGCTAAGCTATTGTCTGTATATACACACTTTGTCTGACTGTTATGAAGCATATCTCGAGTATTGTTTCAATGATATTCCTTTTTATGAAACTGATTCGATGATACTTAATTGTTTCAAGTGTTTAAAGGGATAGTAGTGTATGTCGGTGTGTGTGGACAGTAAAGTGTTGCTGCTGTTGTTGATACAGGCAGGGGATGGGGTGGCCCAGGGTCCCGTGGTGGTCCACTGCTCAGCGGGTATTGGTCGCAGCGGCTGTTTTGTCGCCATCAGCATCGCCATCAACCAACTACAGGAGGAGGACTGTGTCGACATCCTCGGCATCGTCTGTCAGATGAGGCTGGACAGGTACTGCCTTAGTTACTGTAGGTTACACTTAACACCCCAAATACTGTTGTTTAATGTTCACCAATTCTTATAAGGGAATTAAATAATTATATCAATGGTCCCTCCCAGACGTGACTCAATAACCTAATCTAATGGCACTGAAGAGCTAATTACCGTATGTCATGCCAACTATGTCAGAAATACTGTACTACTGTGGCTCACAATCGTTTAATACCCATGTGATCAGCTCTGTGATTACAGCACCTTAAGCCCTTCCGTACGATGAGTTAACCCTTAATTCTTAAGTACGACACCTTGACCCTGAAATACGACACCTCATCTCTTAAGACGACACCCTAACCCCTTAAGACGACACCTTAACTACTATTAAGACGACACCCTAACCCACTAAGACGACACCTTAACCCTATAAGCGTATAAGCACGATGACTTAACCTCTTGAGTACAGTGATTTAACGCCCTTGAACACGACAACTTAAGCGTCTGAATAAGAGGCCTTATTCCCTCTAGTAACAAGATATTGTACTCAAAAGGTACAGTAGTCGAACTCAATGGGTTAACATAAGTTAACTACTGGGTTAATACACTGTACTCAGGGATTTGACAAAGTACTCAAGGGTTTATGATATACTCATTGCAATAATTCATTGTACTCAGGGAATTGGCAAAATAATCAAGAGGATAAAATGTTACTCATTGCAATATTTCATTGTACTCAGGGAGTTGGCAAGGTACTCAAGGGGTTGAGGGAGTGTGAGATAAGCAGTAACAGGTGTGTTGACCCCCCAGAGGCGGAATGGTCCAGACGGGGGAACAGTATGAGTTCATCCACCGCGCTGTGGCCCTCTACGCTGCCACCCTCCCAGCCCTCAACAACCTCAAGTGACCCTCTGTCTACGCGCCTGCTGCGGGAGAATGATCCATTGCGACGATGGATCCAAGGTGGACCACTGATCCATGCTCAGCACACCTGCCACGAAGGTGTCAAACTTTCTCATTGATTCCAGCTGAGGATTCTCAATATAGACCACTGATCCAGGCTCACTACACCCGTCACAAGGATGCCATTTGACTCTTGTTTTGGGGAAACGATCGACGCTGATGGATCCAAGGGCACTGACCCATGCTCATCGCCACTGCCACAAAGATGCCACTTGAATCAGGAGAAATTTTGGGGGTGAAGCAAAAACCCGCAATGAGAGGCCCGCCCTCTTCAATGATCCACGCCCACTGGAGGCCCTTATCATACTGAGGGACCCGCCCTCGTCACTGATCCACGACCACTGGCTCCCAGCAGTGTGGGGCAGATACCAATTCGTCTTTCTTACAGAAGAACTTAACCTTCACTATCTTATCCCAACACGTCTTCACAAGGTAGTAAGAGTATGTGATCCAACCCTACAATAACTCAGCCTCACAAGGTTAAGGTGAACGAACCATAACAGTACAGTGGTTAGTGGCATATAACAAGTGAAGGAAGTAATGCTGATGTGTCAGGTGGCAATAGTCATGTGCAAAGGGAAATGCAGTGTGTTAAGTGGGTATACAGCTGCCAAGTGGAAATGCAGTGTGTTAAGTGGGTATACAGCTGCCAAGTGGAAATGCAGTGTGTTAAGTGGGTATACAGTACAGCTGTCAAGTGGAAATGCAGTGTGTTAAGTGGAAATGCAGATGTGTTAAGAGTAAACATTAACGTGTCCAGTACAATCCTACCCCTGGTAAGGTCCACCAAGTATCTCCTTAAATGATAAAAGAAAAGACCTAAATTGTCCCTGTGGCACCTGGCGAATCCTCTGGCTGTCTCCAGTGAAAATAAATGACGAATGACAAAGCAAACAAAATAAACAAATACAATATAGTGTTAAGACATAAGTAATTAAGAGATTATTCATATACTCTATATATATATATATATATATATATATATATATATATATATATATATATATATATATATATATATATATATATATTATATATATATATTATATATATATATATTATATATATATATATATATAATTCGTAAATTAAGTATGTGTGTGTGTGCGTGTGTGTGTGCGCGCATGCATGTATGTGTGAAAGTGTGTGTGCGTGCATGTGTGTGCATGCATGTGTGTGTGTGTGTGTGTGTGCACTGGTGGACATACCTGTGCATATAAATATACTTGTTCAAAAAACACTTGAAGATATACTGTGTCCAGTATACTCTCGATTTAACGGAATCCGATATAATGAACTGTCAATTTAACAGAAGGCATTTTTTCCATTATTTTTCGCTGGATGTAGTGAACTAGTTTGCTAAATCGTGATTAATCCGTTAATATGCACACACCTACGGAGACACCTCAGACACATGATACAGTAATATCTACTTCAGCCTACGGCGAGTGTACTAAACGTATAAAAACGATAAATAATGATATATAAAAAACACCATATAAGACGCACCCCCCATTTTAGCAGTGAGTATTTAGGAAAAAAACTTTTGTGTGTATTTTCCTCCTGTAGCCATAATTTTCTTAAAATAATATATACAATACCATAAAATGTGAGGAATATATAAAAATAAGACAAACAAAAAAGTACTGTACAATACAGTATTGCCAAATCAGTAAATAAAAGTCAAATGGAAGAATAACACAGTTTGCCCTTACGACAATTACCTATTTCTTTTACCTTTTTCACAGTATGTATGTGGGATGGTGTGTGCATGTATCTGAGTAAAAATAAATGAAGAAAGTTACGTATATCTACCCAAAAATACGAGTTGAAAATATTAGTAAAACTGTACTATCAGTAAATATGTAAGGAAAAATAAACCGAGGGTGACGGAAAATACCTCCCCGACCTTGAGTGTGCAGCGTTCCGCTTGTAATAAAAAACATCCGTATGTGTAGTTCATGAATCTATTTTTAGTTTCATTTGCTATGCTGCTACATTCATTTCTTTTTTTGCGTAAAAAAAATTATCTTCTATATACAGTACATGGCTGTAAGACCGACCGGAAGTACTGTAACAACACTGGGAGGGAGTAGGCGTGGCATACGGCACCGGCCCAGGATTTAAATGCCACACAGCACTTTAAACAAGGCAAGTTGCCACTTTTACTGGAATTTCTTGTTTTCCTAGGTCATTTGTTTTATCCTCTTCACCAAATGATCGGCTCGTTAGCCGCTTGGGCAATCGGTCACGTCTCTGTTACGCACTGTTGGCAAGTGAACAACACGCAGATGCGGCAGGACAAAAAATGAGTGAATGAAACAAACCCCACACCGCGAAGTGAGGCGAGATGTGTTTGGTGCGGAATTTAATGGAATCACACTCGATTTAGTGAAATAGTTCGGTAAATCAAGCAAACATAACGGAAATGTCAATTTAGCGGAAATTTCGATTTAACGAACAGGGGTGGCTCGAATTAGTTCGTTAAATTGAGAAAATGCTGTACATGTATACCCTCGACTAGAATATAAATATGCCTGTGCTAATAATGGTGGTATGTTTGGTGGTATAAAATACACATCATCGTGCTGGCACGACATGAGTGGGGGGATATCTGTTGTACACATTCATTTACTATAAATTATGTTTTATAAGAGGCAAAAAGCCCAACATTTCATCTGGTAAAAATGTTTTTATACTGGGACTTACCTGACCAAACAGTCGCTCTCTCTGGGCTGAAGTGTACAGCTTAATCTTCAACATTTATACACACCTTTGTCTTGAAGATTTACACATAACGACAAGCAGCAGTATATCCCTGTCTTCAATAGTAGTTGCATTGTGCATCTTTAACAGTTGTTCGTCCTCGACTTGAACCGCTGTACGTCCTCAAGGTGTGTTGCTGCCCAGGTGGAGCACAACAGGAGATCCATTCATTCACCAAATGTGCCCCTGAAAAGTTATATACGTCTAGATAATAAAGAAATATAAATATATACATATATCTATTTTTGGAAACTACACAACTAAATAAGAAATATATAGGCACGGAAAAGCTTTAAGCTTAAAAGTAAATTACTACTCCCAAGAATAAAGAAAAAATAGTTTCCTCTCGCTCTTAACTCTACAGTATGTCCTTCATTTTTGTAATTTCTCCCCCTGTGACCCGTATCTTATACTGTACAGCCGAGCATGATTTGTTTCCTCATGCTCGTAGCTGCTCCAGGAGGGATTAATGTTCGGCCTACAATATAATTATTAGCTTTAAACACCTTAAGGTCAGTGCTGAGCTAAAAATTTCTCTAAACCTGGCAGTGAAGCGTAAATTGAAGCCTATTCTTGCCGTCTTCAGAGTTTATTTGACAAAATTTTCCGATCATTTTTATTGTGATAGCAGCCAATTTGCAATGGAAATATACTCTATTACATCTCTAAGTTAAAGCATCTTCCATGTCTCTGAAAACAGTAAAAATTTTAAATGTCGTTTCTGTGGGTAAGACATTTACGATCCCGTATTGCTCCATAACGATGGAACAGGTAAGTATGAATCGATACATTATTGTGTTAACTGTAAATCTCAGTTTCTGTAAACGTATTTATAATATTATGACTTATACTAACCTAACTTCCGCTTCTCTGACGCCGGTGTCTCGCTTCAAGTGATGATCTGGTGAGAAAAAAACAGTTAAATAACGAAAAAAATATATGACAGACTGAAAAACAAACTTAACTGTTGCAGGTCCCAGCACTAGGAGAGATTAGTTTCTTGGAGACCAATACACACCTGTATAGTTCTATTCATTTGTTTATTTTAAATCACACAATAATAACAATGTATAATCTTAAATGTTTGACCCTCATACTTAATTAAGGTTTAATTCCCATGGCAGCTAAACCTTTATCTACTAAGAGACAGAATTCCGATATTAAAAGTTGTAATAATTTAATTACTACTAACCTGTATCTTCCACTTGAAATATGCTATTGTTTACCATAATCATACATGAACTGTACTAATGTATTCTCTACAGTACACCATACCATCATACATAAACTGTACTAATGTTTTCTCTTAAAATGTACTAATGTATTCTCTACACTATACCATCATACATAAACTGTACTAATGTATTCTCAACAACATACCATCATATGACATACATAAACTGTAATAATGTATTCTCTACACCAGTGGTCTCCAACATATACTTCGCGCCTCGGGACCATATTATGGAACCCCCAAAGGTGTATTAGAAAATAGTGAATTATTTGGGATTCTTTGTGACAGTGAAATTAATTAAAATATTTAATAACGTGATACAACTGTTGTATACAGGACGTGTGTATTTACCCCAGACCGGGCCCAGAGAGAGAGAGAGCCAGTAAAAGTATGTAACTGGTAACAGCTAGACTTGCAAAACTGCAAATAACTGTACAATAAATATGATATTTCTTTTTCTTTAATGTAGATCCAAAGTTCTGGCGCCCTCCACAATATTTACATTGATAAACGTGGCCCAGAGCCTACAAAAGGTTGGGGACCACAGACCTACACCATGCCATCAAACATAAACTGTACTAAAGTAGTCTCTAAACTATACCAATTATATAATGACTGTACTTATGTATTCTCTTCATGATATCATTCATAAACTATGGTACAGTAGTGTATTCTCTTCACCATGCCAATCATACATTAACTGTAGTATGTGTTCTCTCCACTATAATCATATAGATCCTATACTTATGGCTTTGTTATACCATTTCATCTCACATTTCTGCATCACGTGTATTTGAGGAACCGATAATTTTATTTTTAACCAAACTGACGTAGATGTATGTCTCGTGTTCTTCGCATTCGTTGTTATTATTAGTTTGATTTTTGTGTTCCATCTTTACTTTGATGCTTTCTAGTGTTCTACTGTATTTACGTCTATAAGACTTCTTGTTTCGCTCTTACGAACTATAAGGCAACTACACCAATTCCAAATCCAGTTTTCATAGTTTATTTATTATTTTTCAATATGTGTTCCCTCGTTTTTTTCATTCACAAACGTCTAGATATATTACGTTAATATTATTGTCAACACGAGACTGAATCAATAATCAATTTACGGTGGCGTGAGAGTAACCAGGCTTGGAATTTTGTGCTATCAGGATTTAATTTGGTGACGTTATATAATCTCAACTCGGCTTTAGAACTATTAAGCCAAGGTATCTAAAAGTATCTATTTATGACAGCAAAGAGCAAAGTGATATCCAAATTTGGTAAATATTTGGGAGTTGCCAACAACTAATTGACTTTTGAAAATGGGTTTTTTATAGTGTAAATCATCGTGTTAAATACAAAGATTGCCTTCATTGCCGTCGGAAATGAGTCGTTGTTGAGATATTTAAAAAAAAAGTGGAAGGTAAAATATAGCAAAAACCTGAAAAAACCCCGACCTAACCTAACGACAAGTGTGTAAGAAAATTAGTTTAAGTAAGAGATACAGGAGGATAGTGATGTGACTTGAATGAGGAAGTGGCCGTCACTTACCAAAGTACCATGCATGGCGATCTAACCGGCACTGGCACTCTGAATTACACCTCCTACACTTTACAGATGAAACAAGAACACGGTCAGCCCTAAAAATGTCAACGGCTGCTGCTTTATTGTCTAAAATGAGCTGGATAACGTGCCAGTCAGCCAATGTACAATCAAAGACAAAAGTCGTGTCACAGTTTTGTCTGAAGATTAAATATAACCCGTGAAACAGTATGAGAGCCCTACCACAAGGCGGAGCTCACCAAAAGTTTAACCCTTTGGTATATATTTTCACCAAATTTCACGACACGACTTTTGTCTTTCATTGTACATCCCTGTGACACAAACCTCCATCTTCCAACTGCCCGAGGCACCGAGAATCGGGACTTGAACTGATTGGCGCACGAGTATTACGTCACATTGGCACTTACGCTAAGTACCTCGCACGACTATGACGTCACATCACTCACGCTTATTGGCCATATATTATAAAATAAAAGATTAAATAACTCGAAAACTATTAATTTCCGACGGAAACATTATATGATATTTTTTCTCTTTCATTATTATAATTTAATATTCAGTTAGGTGTTGACAACTACTAAATATTAACCCCAAATCTCTCTCTCTCTCTCTCTCTCTCTCTCTCTCTCTCTCTCTCTCTCTCTCTCTCTCTCTCTCTCTCTCTCTCTCTCTATATATATATATATATATATATATATATATATATATATATATATATATATATATATATATATATATATATATATATATATATATATCAAGGTTTCCTACATTACCTAACACAAACCTTCAAAGTTCAGGTCTGGATTTAGTTATCAAACAATCAAGTAATTTTTTGCGCAAATTATTTCCTTGTGTTTATTTTATCCTCCAACAGTCTACGTGCATGAGTCTCATATTGTAGAAGTGTGTGAGTGTGTTGTTGCTGCGAGTCTTACTGTGTTGAAGCTAATAGTATATTTCCCGAAATTCATGGAGGAAAATTAAGATATTCTTGTAAAAAAGATCTTATATATCCCTCAATACTATGTTGATCAGTTATAGGCACAAGCTAATATTCCTATTTTACTACAGATATTCGTTTTTAGTCTAAACAATAAGAGAAAAAGAGGTTTCTCGTGTTTGTAGTACCACATGTGTTTCTCAACCTTCACTTCTCATTTTTTAATTAATGACATTATTTTGCCAGGTGTCAGTTAAGTGAGTGAAACCATACTGTACTGTACACAACTTTACCTGAGAAAAATAAAATAATAACCACCAGATGTTTTAAGCTTATACTATCACCCACAGATTGCCAGTTTACCACAGCCAGGTGGCATCGCGTTGGTTATACAGTAAAGTACTATACTATACTGTACTAACTTAGATTATTTTAGAGCCTGGCTGACGGGCGCTCTCTACCCACATGCCTTCACTTCCTTTACTAACTCGACTCCTGTATCCAGATGAATATACTTTACCACACTGTCACTGCCAAGTAAACAAATCTTAGAATGCTATACCTATAACACCCTGCCAGAAACATAATGCCATTCTAACAGCTAACAATCAAAAACAACTAAACAACCTTTCTGAAACACCTCAACTTGTCTTACAACCTCAGTCAAAATACTCGTCCGTCAAGCTTAGATTGTCTAATCAACCCAACTACCATTACTCTCGACTACTCGAATATTATAGTCATTAAAACTACAACAATAACAACCCTAGCAACAATCAAACTACCACAATAACCACAACAAGTGTACCACCACAACCATACTACCACAATAACAACAATGTAACTACCACAATAACAACACTCAAACTACCACAATAACAACCATACACCAATAAGCATCTACCTATTCTCATTAAAGATGTACAGTGCTGACCATAAGTCTGCCTACGTCTGTAGCTGCCTACTAACTGTAATGATGAGTAATATATATACAGTATATATATATATATATTTATTCACCAAAGTCTTGTTTATTTTTCCTACTAACCTTGGGAAAGTTTTTGTACAGGTAATGGAAATATTGTACACGGGAGAAAATAAAGAGGAATGGTTTTGGAAAATGTTGTTGGCTTGTTGGAAGACGATGTTGGCTTGTTGGAAGACGATGTTGGCTTGTTGGAAGACGATGTTGGCTTGTTGGAAGACGATGTTGGCTTGTTGGAAGACGATGTTGGCTTGTTGGAAGACGATGTTGGCTTGTTGGAAGACGCTGTTGGCTTGTTGGAAGACGATGTTGGCTTGTTGGAAGACGATGTTGGCTTGTTGGAAGACGATGTTGGCTTGTTGAAGACGATGTTGGCTTGTTGGAAGACGATGTTGGCTTGTTGGAAGACGATGTTGGCTTGTTGGAAGACGATGTTGGCTTGTTGGAAGACGATGTTGGCTTGTTGGAAGACGATGTTAGCTTGTTGGAAGACGATGTTGGATTGTTCAATTGAAAACTTATTTTGTATGATGTTAATAATGCTATTTTTGTTATCTCTGGGCCGCCATTAATAACAAAAATTAACTAAACCTAAACGAACTCAACTAAATATTGGTGCAATATCATTATGTCAGGATAGATTTGGTTAAGTTAGGTTTCAATAGGTTAGGTTAGATTTGATTAGATTTGGGTAGGAGTGGTTTGATTGGGATACCTTTGTTTAGGTTAGGTCAGCTCTGGTTGGGTTAGATTTGGTTAAGACAGATTTAGTTGACCTAAGTTTGCTTTGGTTATATTAGGCTAGATTTGAGTTAGGTTAGGGATTCACAAATATACAGTATTATACGTTAATTTTGTCTCCTAACTCGCACGATGAGCGTACTTAGTCATATCCTTAATAGTTGTGATCCAGTTATTAGGAGTTCAGTGTACAAACCTATACGTTAACAAACAAAACGGGGGAATGAAACGAGGATACAAAGAATATTTAAAATGTTTTCTTAAATGACTGGGGTTTTTGCCGATACATAAGATTCGTTCAGCAATACCGTATACAGAAAGTCATCAGCGCTTAGTGAGTCGTCAGTGCTTTGTGAGTCACCAGTGCTTAGTGAGTCGCCAGTGCTTAGTGAGTCATCAGTGCTTTGTGAGTCACCAGTGCTTAGTGAGTCGTCAGTGCTTAGTGAGTCACCAGTGCTTAGTGAGTCACCGGTGGCGGTCCAGCCATTCATGACTACCACAATGGGCCCCTCTATGGTCTACCATACCCGTCTACCACACCCGGCAGTACATCTTTACTGAGCAGTGCACAAAACTGGGTAATGCTGTTACTACTACTATGCTACCACTACATCATTACTACCACCACTACAGTTACTATTACCACTACTGTTATTGATACTACTAGTTTCTCCAGTGCTAGTAATACATACACGTGTAACAGATGAACGTTTCTCCAGTGCTAGTAATACATGCTTGAGTAAGTATTTAACTAAAGAAACTGGATAGAGTTGCAAAGGTGAGGTTACCGGGCAGTCCACTGAGTCCGGAGTCCAAACACCACGCGAGAGTCCACCCAGTGACCTTGTACACCGCCACATGAGTCCACACCTTGTACACCGCCACATGAGTCCACACCTTGTACACCGCCACAGGAGTTCACACCTTGTACACATACACAAAACAATGACTAGTATATGTGTTTTAATGTGAAGTAGAGTCGACGGCTGCAGGAACAACTGTGCGTTATGAAGGGAACTTGTCGCTGGAGATCAGTTGTTGCCGATGAGGAGTTTGTCTATGGGTACAACTCTACCCTGAGTGTCTCTCCTGAGGCCTCCCATCTTTTCCAGCACCTCCACCACGTAGTAGCCTAAAATGCCTGCCACCATGAACACCACCAGCATGGTCATCTTCGCGCTGACACAGAGGGCGGTGCTACAGACGTAAGCGATGGTGAAACCGATTGACTCCCATAGGCGGTAGTTACTGAAGGCCGCCTCCGACTGGCCGGGGAAGATGACGCCGTACAGAGCTGCAACATTAATCATATAATCTTATTATAATTTATACAGTTATAATTTTGGGTTTTGTATTAACATAACAAACACTATCTTGGAGACCTAAAGAAAAGTCTAGACAAGTATCCTTATATGAACATTATCAAGCGAGTTTTACTTTACGTGATTTAAATTAACGATAAAATTAGTACTGTAACATGTAAATTACGTCGCTAAATATACGGTACCCAGACCAGCATAACCTACTGTAGCTTAAAGAAGGTGGCACTTGTGTTGGTCTCATACGGCATTAATGTCTAACAGATCATCTACGTCCTGCCAAGACTTTATCGTTAATACAGAACAGTATATAGTGAAGAAATATAGTACCGTTGATTTGTGTCTGCCATACAGCGTCCGCAGCTCCCCATAGCGCTGAAATCACGAAGAACCACGGCATGTGGTCTGGGTGAGGCTTCCAGTAGGTGAAGGTGACCACGAGAGACGCATTGATGAGGAAGGCGAAGGTGAAGATAGGAACACGACCCACCACCTTCACCAGCGGAGTCAGCGCCACAGAGAAGAAGGCAGCGCTCACACCCAGACTTATCAACACGTAGCCCACCATGTGTACCCCCAGGGCACATGTAACATACGCCTGCCAACAAAACCTTATGTCACACACTCCTGCCAACACCCATGTTACACACATCTGTCAACACATCATGTTACATATGCCTACCAACGAAACCTTGTTACACATGCCTGCCTATCAACACAACTATATTTTAAAGACAAGAAAACACTTGATACATGTGATAACTAATAACATAATTTATATAACTAATAATCATAAAATGCTTGGGATTGATATGGGTTTTCTAAGTAAACTTTAAGAATGAAAATAAAAAGAACATTGAATCAGTTACAGCATCTCTTAAATAAGTTAAGGTTATGCTGTACTATACATATGGGACTTAATGGTTCTTTACACTTATTAGAATAATGATACTAACGGCAGTGTAGTCAGCTGTGAGGAACTGCTGCTCGAGACCGGAGTAGATGGTAAGGGGTATGACTAACAGCTGGTAAGGGTGACGCATGTGGTTGAAGGTTGACACTACCAGCTGGCTCACAGACTCTCTCTTGGTATCCTGGTCCTCCTTGTGTGTGAACCTGACCAACACGACCAGTGTTAGTGTATACACACACATACACAGTGTTCATAATGAATTAGTCTACTGTACGGACAAACTGGTATATAACATAACAATATGAACCTCCCTTTTCCTGTGTGGTTTTATCGAGATTTATCTTGTCCACGTTTCCATTGTGGATGTACATGATATATATATATATATATATATATATATATATATATATATATATATATATATATATATATATATGAGAATAGCCCACCCGGGGCACAGGGTGGGGGGGGGAAGTAAGAGTAAAAATAAATTAAAAATAGAAGAGAAAAGGACTATATTAATCGACACCACGAAGATGCCGGAAAGTGAAACAGAATGTATGAGTATGGAAACACAGAAGGCAGAACATTCCACAGTTTGGCTGTGTGAGGAAAGAAGGATGTACTATAACGGGTTATTCTAGTGACCAACACCCACACAGAAAAGGTGGGTACTGTGGGCAAGACGAGTGTTACGAGCCCACGGCCTTGCCGGCGGTACACAGGATGCCAAATCCACAGAACATTGCCCGTAAAAGAGAGAGAGTGAAGCAACATTGCGACGAAGGGAAAGGGAAGAGAAATTATCAACTAAAGGAGGTGAGTTAATAAGAGGAAATGCCTTGATTCCACTCTAACTCAGTAATAACAGGTGCACATGACTCATTAATAGCAGGTGTATAAATAACACAGTAATAACAGGTGTTACGTCAAGGTTAGCGTCTCACTTGGTGACGGGATCAACGAAGAAGAGTGTGGTGAGGGAGGAGAGGAAGGTACAGGCCAGGAACACTGATGTTATGGTGTAGATCTTCCAGCTAGAAGGCAGCTCTGACTCTGTGGGAGTGTCGTTGATGCTGCTGGTGACGTTGGTGAGGCTGGCAGAGCTTTCACCAGACTCAGAAATGCAGAAGTTGTAGCCACAGGTGAGTAGGGCCGCCTCATCCGGCACGTCATTCTTCTCCACACCGATGGACAACACTGATAGAAATAATGGTTGTGTAGCTTAGTATACTACTTCATATATACAGTTTATAATATGGTTGTAGTGTAGCTTAGTATAATACTTTATAGAGCAGTATAATACTTGATAGAGCAGTGTAATACTTTATACCCAGTTTATAATGTGGTTATAACTTAGTATAACATTTCATACAAATACAGTTTATAAATATTAACTCTTACAACTGCAGAATATATTTATCTTCCATACAGTAGAACGTTCCCTACTTCTCCACAATGTATTAAAATAACTTGTACTTATTCATCTTACACTGCAAAGTAAAATATTTCAAGTTACTGAAGGATTAAGTGCTCATGAAATGGTATTGAATAATTATGCTATTTCAACCAGAGAAACTATTACCATCGTCTTACTCACCTGTGGAGGAAATAATGTTGCCCCAAATATTCGTCGACTGGAAAAAGAGGAAAAAGATGCCAAAGAACCTTGTAATGACGACGCCGTTGTCTTCCCCCGTCAGCTGGGCGTAGAGGGTCCCCACCTGACAGTGTTACAAGGAAACCTGCTGTTACCGTATTGAATAACTCCAAGTTGAATAAGATCATCAAGTCTTTCTTAGGACAGACGGAACTTATGGAGATTAGAAATCCTTGCTTATTTTACTTTTTATATATATATATTTTTTTTTACGGAGAATAGCCCACCCGGGCACAGGTCATCGACCCACAATGGGGCCCGGGGAAATATGCGTAAAAAGAAATTTTAAAAATAAAAGAGAAAAAGAGTATATTAATATACACCACGAAGATGCCGGAAAACCAGCTTTTTGAAGAGAGACAGATTGTAAGAGTATGGAAACACAGAAGGCAGAGCATTTCACAGTTTGGCTGTGTGAGGAAAGAAGGATGTACTATAACGGGTTATTCTAGTGTGACCAACATCCACACAGAAAAGGTGGGTACTGTGGGCAGGACGAGTGTTACGAGCCCACGGCCTTGCCGGCGGTATACACAGGATGCCAAATTCACCGAACATTGCCCGTTAAAGTACCTGTAAAAGATATAGAATGAAGCAACACTGTGACGAAGAGAAAGGAAAGAGAGATTGTCGACTAAAGGAGGAGAGTTAATATGATAAAATGCCTTTGATTCCATCCTGTCTAACGGTTGGACAGAAGAGCCTCCCCAGATATGAGAGCAGTAATCCAAGTTAGGACGAATGAATCCCTTATAAACTTAAAGCAATGCTCAGGTGTGAAATAGCTACGGCATCTGTACAGCATTCCCAACTTTCGGGAGGCAGCTTTAGCAATGTTGTGGATGCGTGACTTCCATGGCATATTAGAGGAAATGGTGAGGCCTAGCTTATTTATTTTAGAATTTGGCAAAATGACTGCGTCCTGAAATGTGATTGGTGGGAGATCTTCTATTTTGGAAAGTGTAATTGATAAACACTGTGTTTTATTACTGTTGAATTTAACCAAATTTCTACCTCCCCATTCGGAGATGCTGTACAGATCTGCATTGATAGATGAAATGATATAGTACTAAAACAGATCTAGCTTGAGAGTTAGTGGGCAGGTAAAAATAAGAAATAGAGTGAAGAGTGGAATTATCAGCATAAGAATGGATAGAATTAGTAGGAGTGTGGAGTAAATCGTTGATAAAAAGAAGGAAGAGAGAGTAGGTGAAAGAACAGAACCCCGTGGAACACCACTATTGGTAGAGAAAGAGCGAGAGATCGCTCCCTCGACAACAACTGCCATGGATCAGTTCTCAAGGACGCTAGAAATTAAAGAACAAACTGGAGGAGAGAAATCATAAGCAAAGACTTGTGCCATAATCTGTCAAATGCTTTGGAGATGCCGAGAACAACGACGAAAGTTCCCCATAATCCCTAAGAAAGGATGACCAAAGATGGGTGCAGTAGGACAGCAGATCACAATTAGATCTTACCTGGCGAAAGCCATACTGGTGATCCGATAAAAGAGAAAGGCGTTCAAGGTGACTGAGAAAATGAGTTTAAAATAGTTTCTAAAATCTTAGAAAGGGATGAAGTTAGGGCAATAGGGCGATAGTTAGAGGGATTAGAATAGTCACCCTTTTTCAGGATGGGCTGAACCGAGGCATGCTTCTAAGAAGAAGGAAAAGCTAAGGTTTTGAGGCACAGGCAAAAGAGGTGAGCAAGCACAGGGGCCAGAACTTCAGCACACTCCCTCAGAACACGAGGGGGTATTCCATCTGGTCCATGCACCTTACTCTCAACCAGATTGGATAACACATCATACATAACTATTGTTTGTTGTTAACTCATCATAAATAACTATTGTCTGTTGTTAACTCATCATAAACAACTTTTGTTAATTCTGGCAGAAACAGTAGCATCTACAGTAGACCCACCTTGGTGAGATAGGTACACTTGGCTGCCCAGAGAGGAGCGGCGCCTATACCCAGGATGGCAGCAGTTGGGACCAAGGTGTATATCCTGGGGTAGAACTGAGCTGCGATGTAGCCCGAGTAACACAGCATCGAGACTACCATTGTGCACTTCTCCTTCAGCACCTGCAGCACTAGCGACGGCAGAAAACAGCACGACAGCACCATAGTGACGTAGGTGGCTGTTAGTCCCGCTGTACCTGCTGCTCTGTGGGGGGAGGTGGCTGTTAATCCTGCTGTACCTGCTGCTTTGTGATGGCTGTTAGTGAGTGTTATGCCCAGAGTTTTAATCACCCTCCTTCCCACTTCCATAAAGAACCCGCTCGGACCTCTTACCCTCCGTGTGGGACCGTCTAGGGTAGGGTTGGTAAGCCTGTCCACCTTCGCTGATGCATTATGGGTCGTCTTACTCGTGTGGTTGGTATGCCAGAGTTGCGTTTATTTACAAACGTTGACGTCAAATTCAAGACTGTACACGGACAACCAATGAGGACGACCCCTCTAACTCCCAGAGAACGGGAGTTATTAGTACATTACCGATAGTTGCCGAGGAAAAATATTACAAAATAAAGACAGATGTGTTAATGTTGTGTCATTAAAGAAGGAAGTTTGAATGCCATAACATCTACAGTAAGTTCAACGCCTAGGGATATGGAGCTCAGCTGAACTACAAAGATGGAAGCATCTTAAAATGAAGGAAATAGGTCAATTTGTTCGCAAGTAGATTACGTTAAATACGGTGCAAATGACTACAATCTCTGAGACAAGCAGACTCATTCTCATCCCAGCCTCTGTTAATGGGGTTAGCCTTCAATTTCTGCCGCGTGCAGGGGGGTATGGTATGATTATTGTATTGCTTGTATACTTTTTTTTTTTTACTTTTATCCTCTTCGCCACTGACCGGCTCGTTAGCCGCTTGGGCGGTTGGTCACTTCTTTATTACGCACTGTTGGCGTGTACTGGCTCCTGAATGTAACTGAGCCTGCTCCAGTGTTGGTCAAGTCTGGTCGGAGCCGTCACAACATTCTCTGACAGGTTGTTCCAAGAGTTCACAACTCTCACTCAGAAAAAGTTCGCCCTTACAGTTTTCTGGACATATGGCATCTTCAACCTTGAGCTATGACCCCTTGTGGGGCGGGCGTCCGCCAGCTTCAGGTATGGACACTCGTCAGTCGAGTGAGTAGTGACTTTTGAGATATTCATACACCATAACAGAGTTTCTAAGATGAAAAGACTTCAGCAGCTAAAAAATCTTGCACTTGGCAGTAAAATAGAACACAAGTTTCTTGAACGTTTCATAATATTGGCCGTAAAAACATTAATGCAAAAGAGACAGCTTTGTAAAATTACCATTGCGTTTCTTTGTTAATTAATCGTATTTACACTTATATCCAATAAAACAAACAAAACAATTACGAAGAGGGTAATGAAGATCAGTTAATAGCCACAGTTGCAAAAGTTCAAATTTCAATACTCTATTATTAATTCGTTTTTCCGCCGCCCCTCTCCGTCGTGGGCTACAGTACAGTAGGCTACCATTTTGCTTACATTTGGGACTGTTATTTTACAAATAATTAAGGTGTATACATAAATTATGTACATGGTATAGCTAATGAAATGCTAAGTTGCAAAAAGTACCGGACTTTGTTACTTAATAAAAGTACAGTACGTACTGTATTGTTACATTGGCAAAATGTTACTCAAGTAGAAGTAAAATAGTTTCCCATTCATAAAGTATTCAAGTACTGAAAGTAAAAAGTAACAACAAAATTATTGTCTCAAATATTAAAATAAATCCACAGTAAATAAAAAAAAAAGTAAGCTAAAAAAAAATAAAAATAAGACACATAGTATTACATATGTTTATTTGCAAATCTTTCTATTGAGATTAATCAATAACTGACTCGAAATTATGGCTGTCCAATCAGAATCTTTTGGCCTAAGTATTAGCCCAGCATGACCTACCGAAAGAGAATACGTTCAGCCGCTCTTCTCCATACAATCCATCGCAGGGATAGTGAACGGGCTGAAAATATATCCATCCAACACTATGACCACTTTCTTATCCACACAAATATCGACACGACACCACTACCCCCGTCACCAGATGTCGATTATTACTCCGGATGTTAGTGTTGCATGGAAGGAGGTATAGAGGTAGAGGTACTCACTTGTTGAGGGAGGACTGGAGGCCAGCTGTGGTGTTGTAACTGGTGAAGAGGAATGTGAAGGCCAGCGAGATAATGACAATATTCTTTATCATCGACATCTTCATCATTTTCTCCTCCTTCGTCAGATTGCTTCTTTCTCCGCTACCGCCCACACCGCTGCTGCCCACATTTTTCTCAGTGGTGGCTTTTGAAACTGTTTGGAGAAAGAAAATGAACTTTGAGTGTGACTGAAGGATTTATTGTGTCGACTGTATGGGATTACATGACTCTCTCTCTCTCTCTCTCTCTCTCTCTCTCGTTTCAGTAACAGAATATTGGCCAAGATCCCCCCCCCCCCTCTTGACATACTGTAGTGGACTCACCTTGGCTCCCCTCCTCGTCCATAAGGAAGGTGGGATTGGTTACACCTGTGTTGACACTGTCGGCCATGTTGATACTCCTAATGACGTCACACACAAGCTGTATCTGTTTAGGGAAATGTGTTAATAGCAGTTAAGATACTTCATACATATTAAAGGTACAGTGGTTATAAAAAAAATAGAGTGTGTGTGTGTGTGTGTGTGTGTGTGTGTGGCTACACCTTCAAGTGTTATGGTAAAAGGAATATCCCACAGTACAAACTTCCCACAAAACTGAGCACCTGTCACAAACATAATAAATTAAAGATGTTATAAGAAGTTGTACTGGAGTCAGATAACATTTACAACTCTTTTATGTTAAAGTTATAATCGTATTAAAGGTTAAACGGGATCGCCTGAAGATAAGGCACCCAAGCTTATTTCTCCTGATGATTTAAACACCCTAACGCTACTTCAGGTGATCCGTTAATAACAACACACCTGTCAGTTGTTTCATATACTGTAGAGAGTTGAAGGCCTTCACTGGTGTACCAGATGATTAACAGTTATATATCAACAAAACTGAAGAGAACAAAAATCCAAGATAGATAGATAGATAGATAGATAGATAGTGGTACTTTCTCATTCTGAAACCCACAACCTCAATGGAGCCAACATACAAAGGTCACACCTCAGGACGGGTCATCAGTTGTAGGGGTTATTGAAAAAGTTGACCTCCGTGGAGTAAATGACCGTGACCCCCCACGCAAGACAAATTACCTCCACCTGACCTAATTTGACTAGCGTAGCCTATCCTGACAAGGCTAGACCTAAGGCAAGAAGGTGGTGGTATGGGGTGTGAGTGAAGGCAAGAAGGTGGTGGTATGGGGTGTGAGTGACGGCAAGAAGGTGGTGGTATGGGGTGTGAGTGACGGCAAGAAGGTGGTGGTATGGGGTGTGAGTGACGGCAAGAAGGTGGTGGTATGGGGTGTGAGTGACGGCAAAGTGAAAGGGAATATTTTACGTCTATCCCTGAGCTGCAGGTGTGCCCGCCAGTGTTGCCAACGTCTGGTATAACCTTAAAAGTGATGATTGTTACAGATACACGGACAACACGTACAGACCAGTGAGATACCTTGTTACAGATACACGGACAACACGTACAGACCAGTGAGACACCTTGTTACAGATACACGGACAACACGTACAGACCAGTCAATAGCTGATCTCGTATAAACGTATTGTAGAAGTCGCTAATAAGTAATAGTATCAAGAGCCAAACATAAAAATCAACGTCAATAGAAGAGTTGCTAAAGGTTCCTACGATAACTTTCTCCTAGTATGTGTCCCTTCTTACTCAACTCAGTTCTCGGATTGGACACAAACATCTCCTCACCTGAAGACATTATTTTATTATCATATTAACCAAGTAGAAGCTTAACCGTGGTGCGTTACCTTCGTGGAGGCTGTAACACTTGTTGGTTGGTGGGTGCTGGTTGATGATGTTGAAGAAGTGGGGTTGATGACGGTAGCGTGCTGGTTGAGGATGGCAGCGTGCTGGTTGATGATGCTGCAGGTGTGTGCTTGGTAGTACTAGTTGATGGTAGAGTTAAAAGTTGCTCATGTTCACTAGTATGTCACAATATCTGTTGGTCAGTGGTGGTACAGCTGCTGTACATCACACCCTGATCGGCGTCAAACTTGCACTGAGCGTCGCGCGTCTCTCCACGACCATTTTGCAGCTGCCGACCTTGTTCTTGAATGCCTGGGGTCACTGCCATACCTTCTGATGGCTCCACTCTCTAGTTTTCCTTGAAATTAGCACCCCAATAATGAACAGAGGAGGATAACAAGGTTAATCCAGGGCATTAGGAACCTTCAGTATGGAGGCCGATTAAAGAATCAGAATTTGCACTCCCTCAAGAGATGTAACAGTGAGGGGCGATATGATCGAGGTGTATAATTGGAAGCCAAGGTTAAATAAAGGTACTTAAACTATCTAACCATAAGCGAACAAATTAAGATTTAGGCGTGAGATAGATAAACATGGGTTTGGAAGTAGAGTAGTGGATGAGTGGAGCAAGTTACCGAGCATCATCATTAATTTAAACAAGCTGTGTAGCTTCAAATATAGGTTGGAAAGATATATGAGCGATATAGGTTGGGTGTAAACGGGACTGCCCAGTATGGGCCAATAGGCCCACTGCAGTTTCTCCCATTCTTATGTTTTCTGATGACGTCACTCGTTAAGATAGATTTTGCTTCCCATTGGAGAAGTAAACAAAAACTTGTAAACTGTACCATATGGGAAGACCATGTATGTATACTGTTTACTCTTTACGAATATATACTGTACTTGATGGCAGCACATGCTGCTTGTATTGTCTGGCCTCCTTCACACATATCAGGTTACCTATACACAGCAGGTCACCTGTACACACATAAGGTCACCTGTACACACATAAGGTCACATATCTCACCTTCACCATAGCCCGATTGATCTACCTGGGTGCATCGAGGGGAATCCCCGCCACAACACTAGGAAAATTATTTGCCCCAACACTTTCTCTCGCAGAGCTGTTACATCGGGTCAAGTTCCCCACTCAGCCTCCCTCTCCTTCACCCCCCAAAACTCTTGCTTCCATGGCTTACAGGACCACCCCAGCCCCCCCCCCCCCTTCACCAGTAATACTCCATCATTTATCCTTCCATTCATTCATATCACCTCTCCCTCACTCCTTCCTCTCTTACCATAGGTAACCCTATATCCCGTATTCCCTTCCTCCCTCCTTGTTACTCCCGTCCCTCCCTCCCAAGGCGACTAAACAGGTGGTCTGACGACGCTCACTCTGGCCTGGTGAGCCTCATACGTATCTACCTGCTACTGTGACCCTGAGTGTGTGATACAGGTTGGTCAATACGTATATGATGTGTGTGTGTGTGTGTGTGTGTGTGTGTGTGTGTGTGTGTGTGTGTGTGCAATGAATCGTTTTCATGAGTTCTTCTAAGGTGAATATAGTGAAGGGAAGAGTTTGTTCAAAAGATGGCTTTGGTCAACAGAATTGCAAAACAAATCTATAGGGCTTGACCACCCTAGTATGGAATTAGTGTGGTATGTGTGTGGCAAGGAATATCCAATAAGGAAAAGTAACTCCCAAAGAATAGTGCGGTGCCAATGGGCGAGCTTTACACTGCTCCATATAAATGTTTGCGGACGATGCCAAATTCTTCAGGAAAATTAAAGAACCAAACAGACAGTGAAGAGCTAAAGAAAGATCTCTGTGAGCTTCAAGAGTGGTCGAATAAATGGCTGCTAAGATTCAATGTCACAAAGTGTAAGAGGATGAACATGGGTTATACCAACGGTAAGGGGGCGTATCACATGTCCAACCGGGACGAGGAAACTGCATTAATAGAGACCGAATGTGAAAAGAACCTGGGTGTGTATGTTAACAATAAACTGAAGTTCTTGGGCCATTATGTGAAGAAGGTGAATGAAGCAAATAAACAATTTGGTCTTATAAGAAGGTCGTTCAGATATCTAGACCGTCTCTCTTAACGATCTTCAAGAGCGAGGTGCTTCCCCGTCTGGAGTACTGTCACCCTGTCTGGTCCCCGAGATATGCTAGAGACTCAGTTATCCAGAGAGATTAAAGCACCTGCAACTGCCTAGCTTATACTACAGGCGGGCAAGGGGTAATCTAATTGAGGTGTATAAACATTTTAGAGGGCACTACTCAGTCGAGTGTCTATCCTGGAGCTGGCAGACGTCTGCCCCACAAGGGGTCAGAGCTCAAGGTTGAAGAAGCCACAAGTTCAGAAAACTGTGATGGCGAACTTTTTCGGAGAGAGAATTAAGAACTCATGGAACAACCTGCCAGAGTTTGTTGTGACGGCATCCAGTGTGAGCTCTTTCAACACCAGATTTGTCCAACACTGGAGCAAGTTAAGATTCATTCAGGGGCCGACCGACCGCCCAAGTGGCAAAGAGAATAAAAGTGAAAGTAATAGAGTTAATGGTCACCATATTTTTATATAAAAAAGCACTTCAACAAGTAAAAAATGTGCTCAATTTCACTATGGTAACCACGTTTTCTAATAAAATAAATCAGACATTATACAAAATAAGGGTTAAAGTTGCTCAACATAGCACAACACAACAAAACCAACAACTTAACTCTTCCTCATACAACACAACACAACACCAGCAACTTTTGTCTTCCTCATACAACACAACATGAGCAACTTACCAACTTAATTAACACTCGGGGTTTACAGAGATGCTCTACAGTGAAATGCTCAGGGTCTGGACGGTCACCACACTAGACTGTACCTCATGAGAGATAATTGTACGTAACGAGTCATAGCAAGATTGCTATTTGAGATAAAAAGTTGGGGTTTGTTGCATTATCATTAAAAATAAATTATCTACAAGCAGTTTATATGATTAATCACAATACAAATATATTTCTATACGAAAGTGCGAGTAGTACAAAAAAAATTTGTTTACGCTTAATGTAAGTGTTTATACATCACTTTATACGTTGGTTATTTCACATGATTGTAATATGAACTTTATTCCATTATGAAGCGTACATGTTTATAAAAAAAAATAGTTAAATTAGAAAAGTTGTGAAAAAAAATTAATATTTCGCTCGGTAATAGTGATGTAAATGTGTTCTAATGAGCACGTCCAGCCCGAGTACAGATTATTCAATTTTTCCCTGAGCGCAAAAAGATAATTGTACATATTGAATCATAGCAAGCTTATTATTGGAGATAAAAAGGTCGGGTTTATTGGATTACCATTGTAAATACATTATCTACAAATAGTTTTATATAAATAATCACAATAAAATGATAAAATCTATACGTATGTGTGAGTATAACATAAACTGCAGTGCATGGCTGCCACTCAAGCTGCCAAGTGCGAATATTCCTGGCAGTTTCAATATTTTACATAAAACGTACATAATGTGTTTATAAATGCTTATTATTTTAGAAGTTCATATGAAATAATTATGTAAATTATAAGTTAAATGTCATACAATTTTTTTTCTTTTCTTTTTTTACGAAAATAAATTATTTTCTGGAGCACTCCTCCCTCCGTCCCCCACAGTGCCGCACGAACTCAGCACGGCACTGAACAAGGCGATTAGATCCAGTTTTAGTGGGAGTGCGGGGTAGTGTAGTGCGGACTTACGTGGGAGATGAGTGGACGCGTGGAAAGTCACGATGCGATGGTTAATATACCACATGTGCAACACTTTCATTTTTATCAAAAACGACATGCCAGCAGTTCCTTTCACACTAGGTCTGCTTGTTGTAGGGCCATACAAACTATCACTTGCACTAGACATGGTTCAAAACTATCATAACACTGTTATCAATAAATTATATCACTGTGATGAAAGAGAAATCAGCACAAGCCATGAGGAATTGGTGGGAAATGCGGGTCAAAGTTACGTCCTATTCTGTTGAACCACAAAGAGTGACTGATGAGGTCAGTTTGATAACTGGTCATTCACGTAACATTAGAGCAGTGTTACCAGATTTTCAAGAAAACTGCTAGACGTGCTACAAAATTATGCTAAATGTAGCACAACTATGCTAGAATTTTCATAACTTAGTGACCATACCGGTGATAACCTGTACTTCCTGTATAACACAAATGCATCTGCTCAAATAAATCTTTAAATGGGTGACTTTAAAATTAAATGTGGTTTAATTATATTAATAGAATATCTCCATACCTGTCAGGTGGATGAACACACACACAGTAGCAGCAACCTGTATTATATCTGATATATGTTTTTGCCCATTGACTTCAGCAGACACAGAAGGCTCAAAGCTTAAACAGTCTCCACTCACCTTTATTCCTTCACCACTTATTAATTCATCACAGAGAGAGACATTTTAAGCCTGTTGCATTTTTGTTTTGGTTCACGACTCCCTCCCTCTATAGCCAGTCGCAGTGCCGCCAATGCACTAATATATCAAAATGAAGCCATGCTACTCCTATAGCTAACTTCATTATAATATTTCTGATTTATTCCATGTTAAACAAAATTATGTCAGATTTAAGCTAAAAGTTGAATTATGCTAAAAAATATGCTAAGCTGTAATATTGGGTCGAAATTCTGCTAAAAGCATAAAAATATGCTAGATCTGGAAACAATGCCTTGGAGGCAGTATACAATAGGTGCCAGGTCACACTACGTTACCAAATGAGCATCTTGCATATCTAGCATTCATACTTAAACACAAAATTATTTTATTGTAATTTTTTAGTTCATACACAAATTTGTATGAAAACCCCAGAGTGTCATGTCTTCCTCATACAACACACCACCAACATGTCTTCCTCATACAACACACCACCACCAACATGTCTTCCTCATACAACACACCACCACCAACATGTCTTCCTCATACAACACAACACCAACATGTCTTCCTCATACAACACACCACCAACATGTCTTCCTCATACAACACACCACCAACATGTCTTCCTCATACAACACACCACCAACATGTCTTCCTCATACAACACACCACCAACATGTCTTCCTCATACAACACACCACCAACAACACCACCAACATGTCTTCATACAACACACCACCAACATGTCTTCCCCATACAACACACCACCAACATGTCTTCCTCATACAACACACCACCAACATGTCTTCCTATACAACACACCACCAACATGTCTTCCTATACAACACACCACCAACATGTCTTCCTCATACAACACACCACCAACATGTCTTCATACAACACACACCACCAATGTCTTCCTCAACACACCACCAACATGTCTTCCCCATACAACACACCACCAACATGTCTTCCTCATACAACACACCACCAATATGTCTTCCTCATACAACACACCACCAACATGTCTTCCTCATACAACACACCACCAATATGTCTTCCTCATACAACACACCACCAACATGTCTTCCTCATACAACACAACACCAACATGTCTTCCTCATACAACACACCACCATGTCTTCCTCATACAGCACAACACCACCAACATGTCTTCCTCATACAACACACCACCACCAACATGTCTTCCTCATACAACACAACACCACCAACATGTCTTCCTCATACAACACAACACCACCAACATGTCTTCCTCATACAACACAACACCACCAACATGTCTTCCTCATACAACACAATACAATACATCATCAACTTGACTTAATACATCATTAAATCAAGACAAGCATGATCTCTGTCGATGATGATGACTCTCCTCCCAAAGAGACCCAGTGAGTGATGATTCTTCCCACAGTGATGATAATGTTTTGGCTGAAGGTGTTCTGTCAACCTTCCCAGTAACCCTACCACGAGCATCATTCAACCACCAGTACAGTTTTTCGGAAGTAAAATACATTTTTATTTTTATTAAACTTCTTAATATTGCCTGTAATGAACTGTACAGTTATAACTATTAATATTGTTTCCCTTAAAAACAAGATTACCTACTGTCATTTTATTGTATGTTGGATAACTTTTTTAGCAATGTATTTCTCAATTAATAATGGAGGTCAATGGGAAAATGTTTCAATTTATGGATTTTTTTATTTACAAATTGTTTTTCAGAAACACATACTGTACTTCAATAAACTGAGGTTGACGTGTAATAATTTAATGACAAAAATATAATTTAAAAATAATATAGGAAGAGTAAGTAAAGCTGAATATTTTATTCACATTATGTAACACATAACAGAGCTCAATGTTTGTTCTATTATTTTTACATATTCTTATACGTATTTCACTTTTCTCTTACTCAGTGATGCATGACAGGTACAGTCAGTCACAGTTCCATTGACTTCACCCTGGCTCATGTACTGTCCACGCAAGTTTACCTGGCAATAGTTGGTGAAGTAAGGCTGTATGTAATGGGGATTGTGATTGGTGAATCTATTTTTGGCTGAATCACTATCATGATACATATTAAACAATCCAAAGATAGCATTTTTATATTAATAAACTATTCATTGTTATATAAGACGATGATAAATGTTCAAATGTTTGTATATTTGCTTAAATAATGAAGCAAATTATATTAATGACTAGGCAACACAACTACGAGATTCTCTCATCAGTTTTCAAGAATACTTGTTCCACATTTAGTCTTGTGTGTTTCATGAAGGAATTAATAGTTTAATAACAGGCCCACCCATCCTCCTTATCAACTAAGACTTGCATCCTCCACAGCATATAAGATATGTTATTCCTAACAAGCTCAGGTTTGTTTCTAAAAGCCTCCGCCACTGTCTTGTCAAGTGGTCAAACAGCTGGTTGGGCATCCTCTCGAACTCGGGTTTCCAGGAACTGACAATACTTGCCCAGATATTTTCAATGGAATTCATGTCACATCCCTTTCTCTGCAATTCCAGGTCTTGATTTATGTATATTTAACACTTCATACATCATTGCCAAATATTTATTTACCTCTCAAAATCTTTACAACAAATTATAAAATGTATTCAGTATTTCACATTCTATTGCCATTGATTCTACTTTAGAATTTATTAATAGATATTTATTCAAAATGATGAATTGGGTTTGTATGTTTCATGTACTGTAGCTGCACTTGCACTCAGACTAAAAATTTGAGTCATTAAGTTACACAGTTGTTGAACAGTAGTTTACATAATTTCAGATATTTGACACACACACAAACACACAGATAACTAGAATATACGAAGATGAAATGTCGTGACTGACAAGTGAGTCATGACAGTGTCTGCCCTCTAAAATATGTCAAATTATATTATATAATGCTCACATTGTAAAGACAATTAATTCCTTCGTGAAATACTCAAAATTAAATGTTGAAAATGTATTCTTGAAATTTGTTGTTGAAAACTGGTGTTTCAGGTGTTGTAAAATATGCAAGTGTACTGTTGTGGCTGGCAAACACATATTTGTCTACTTTCATGGTCACCACGGCACCTACGACCACACCCTCGCTGAGGAGGTGGCCGGTAGGGAGGGGGGACCAGCGCCATTGTCTGGATCACTGTTGGCCGCCTCAACAAACTCGACATCATTTGGGTCCGTTTCCTCCCCATCATTGTCTTCGTAATCCAATAATTTATCAATGCCACTCAAATCAAGCAAATTTTTATGAATAACACTACTGTCGAGGATGTGGAGGGGTGAGGCGGGTCTTGAGATTTTGAAGGATTTGCATCCCTCATGATAGCTGGAGGGTAACTGGACCACTAGACTTGAGACAAAGATTAACAGTATATGTAAATTGAGGTGTAGAGAAAATAAATATCCAAAGATTACCGGTATATTAGAGTTGAATTGCCAAGTAAATACATATCCCATACAAAGTATTTCGACTCACCCGGACATTCAAAATATGTCGCGAAAATTAAGAACGTTGAGGAACATCACCCGGGGTCGCCTAAGTGAACATAGAGCAATGTCACCTGGGTTTTAAGGGCTAAGCAAATATACGAACATCAGGAAAACTTATGATCTTAGATAACAATAAATAGTTAATTATTAAGAAAATGCTATCTTTGGATTGTTTACCAGCAATATTTATCCTGATAGTGATACAGCCAAAAATAGATCCACCAATCACAATCCACATTACATACAGCCTTACTTCACCAAGTATTGCCAGGTAAAATTGCGAGTACGAGAGCCAGGGTGAGGTCGATGGAATTTTGGCCGACTGTACCAAACCATGACATTTTTGCAGTGAAAAAAGTAATGGATATTTTGGTTTATGCATTGGGTTCATCATTGAAGATGTAACAAACTACTACAGTACAGACCATTCATAAAACAGAAGAAAAAAATAGAAAAACAAGTGTCCCCTGACCTTTGACCTTCAGTAATGTGTCACACAAAAATTGATCCAACAAACTTGCTGGTGATCAGGGTTATTTATGATGTATCGTTTGTTAAGTTGATGGTACGAGCCACCACCATCACCACCTCCACACACAAATTAACCAACAATACAATTTTCCCATTACCTCTAAGCATTTCTCGTCACACTCAAGGCTCAAAAGTGAAGAGATTTTAACCTCCCAATTACAACATCTGCAAGTTTGAGGGAAGTGTAGTGCATCAGAGGAAACCTAACTACTCTACAGTACTGTGTTTGTCTCTTTGGAGGCACAGCCACTTGTAAACATTCCCCTTGATCACCACCACCACATTATATGTTAAGACACTCCATGACAAAGCCTTAGACTATTTGTTGCTTTCCTCTGTACAGTATTCTGTTCATTACCTACTTTACTTCAACAACTATGTGTACTGTACTTTAATTGTTACATACAAACATGTTCCTTCAAACTTTCAAATGTTTTATCATCACTAACAACATATTCAGTAAGAACTAAACATACAATACTGTATATCAAATATTTGTGTGGTGCGGAAAAATAGAAAACATAATTTACTATTTCATATTTAATGGATTAACTACAAATATTCAATTACTTATACTGTACAGTCTTAACTCTAGCTAGCTAGGGTCTGAACAACTATAATAAGCTCTCGTCTTAAATGGTTTGGGCTTCCATTTTGCATGATCTTATCTTCATTTACAATACAGTATTTTCATGTACATTAGTTGATGTTCTCCAGTTCTTTCATTAACTGTTCTCTCTTCTTTTCCAACTCATCTTCGCTCAGCTCTCCCTCCTCTAAGCTGACCTCGCCAGCCTCACGTTCTGATGACCTCCGACCAGAATCGCCTTCAGAATGGCCTCGGGATCTGAAAATACAGGATATTTTCAAATTGCATTAACGGAAAAATCTTTCTATTCTTATACGATGTACATAAACTCGGGATATACCACAGCATTTTGCGTTGGGAAATATGTCAAACTGTTTAAATTAATTATGGAGATGAGGCAGTCCATGAGGCCAGGAAGTTACACTGTGACCTGTGTCAGTTGTCTGTGATTTACTCTTGGGGTGAAGTTTAATTCAAGAAAATGAGAGTAAGTCTTGATTCAGTCAGAGCTTCTTTCACTGGTACCTGTACTGCACAACCTCACAAATCATTTCAATAAAGATATCAACTATAGAGGACACAAATGCACAAAAAGGTAGTTTGGTAAATGCATAAACAGATCTTGTGTCTGACCCAACCATCAGTACAGTTCGTACAACAGTCATTTCCTCTCATGACTGTACAACACTAACACATGCTGAGCTTTAACTATTTACTGTAATCAAAAGAGGTAAAACAGTGATCAATAGCAAAATATAATACACAATGCAATACTCAGACACAACTTGAAACAACATGTGATTGAATGTTTAAAAGGGTGCACAAGACTATCATTATTAACTGCTCTAAAGTGGTGCTTCATCAAGAAACTGTCGAGTGAACATGCTTGCTAACTACAGTATACCAACTTACAACTGTTCACCTGAGGGATGTCTGGCTATACAGTATGATCATACTTCAGTCATATACTTTGATATAATAATCTTAATTATCTATGTCACAATAAAGGAAAACCTATGTAAACTGTTTCTGCAGCCTTGATTCATCAATTATGAGGATCTGTACAGAAAAATTTTCAAGTGTCGAGGTTGTAAAGTTATTACTGTACTGCACAGCTTTTCTGAACACGAATATTCCTTACAACTGTTTGTTGGGAAAACTAAATGGCTGAGGGAAACAATTAAAATAAACAGAATATTCATTTACAGTTAGCTGCAATAAAAATCTTTACCAAATTTGAAAAAAAGAAAAACGATGATGAAATTACATGACACAGTTCGTAAATTAAAGCAGTAAATCATCCCATCAACCTAGCCTAGCATAAATTTGGACCTGAGTTTCATGGGTTAGGAGCTGGGAGCACCATGAGGTGTGCCACAGAACTATGTTAATACTATACAATAATTGCAGTAATCCTCCCCTACCCAGAAACCAGCACAGTATAGTACATACCTTCAAGGTTTAAACTATTGTTCTCAAAGGATTAAACCAGTGGTTCACAAACATGGGGTTGCAACCCCAAATGGGGTAGCAAGATGCATCATTAGGGGCCGCATGGTCATGGGGTCGCTGGACTCCCATAGACCTGATAGGGTTATTGGAGTTACCTGGGTCTTGCAGCTGTTACATGTGAATTTTTTTTAGTCCAGGTGTCAAGGACTGAAGGACCTGGTTGACAGATGTTATCTCGTTAAGTCAGGACCATAAATTATGGTCAATGGATTAATGCAGTTTCTCTCCTTGTGTCAGGTCAGTAGAGGTCAGTCCAGGTAAGGCTTGCCTTGATGACATGTTTTGCAACAGAAGTTCCACACCTACTTTGTACTGTTCTCAGCTCAGTTCACTCTCTACTTCCAATGGATGCAGACAGAAAATGGCAGCAAATTTCAATGATAGATTCCCAAAGTTGCTAAGTGAGTTTTGATTCTGCTCAGTTTCAGTTGAAGACAGATGTAAAACACTGTGGGTCTTTTGTGCTCAAAATGACAGAATTACAGGCTGACAACAATAGGGCAAGAGTGAATTTTGATGTCTACGATGACATGGTAAAGTTTTGGATTACAGTACTTTATCAAAGAGACATTCAGCAGTTAAAAATCGAGCTATCAAGGTTCTGGTACAATTTGGAAGCACCTACGGTATGTCTGTGACGCAGCTTTCTCATCAATGGCGTTTATAAAAAATGACTGCCGTAATTGTATATCAAACTTGAACTTATAAAATTGTATGCTATGTTGCTTAACGACATAATGATATTCCTAGGTATAGAACACTAATTGATGATATAAACATGTCACATCTTAAACATGACAGAATTGTAACCTGAAATTGGTTTGAATATTGTCGTCATAGGGTTAATCATAAACATCATCCTCAACAGGTTAAACTATTGTCCTCATAGGGTTAAACTATCATCCTCAAGGGATTAAATCATCATAATCAAAAGGATTAAACCACTGTCTTCAAAGGGTTAAAACATAATCCTTAAATGGTTAAAATATTGTCCTCAAAGGGTTAAAACATTGTGCTTAAAGGGTTAAACCAATTTTCACACCTAAAATACATTACTAATGTCAAGAAAAGCCTGGCTTTGACTAACCCTTGACTGCTTCATCCACTCTACCAGAACATGAGCAATTAACTAACTAATAAGGCAACACAAAGCTCTGGAGAAGCACGAGTCAGAAAATACAAAGAGAAACATATCATTTCTCTGAACAAAGAAATCAAATACAAAACAGCCATGTGAAAGCAACAATTTTAACAAACATGAACTAACATTATTTTCTACCATACAGCTGATGAGCGCTATTTATATGAAAGGAACACAGCAGCAGTAAGTCTGCGTTTGCTCTTGTTTTCCTTATAGAAAAAGTTATTTACATAATCACTAATACAATGTCAAAAAGTTTCCTGTTACTGAGATGCAGTGTAATGTTTCGTGCCACAACTACCTGACAGCACAAACACACTGCTATCTCTTAACTGTGGCAGAGTCGTAGATAGAGTTCGGCCAACCAGGCGCCATGTTGTTACTCAATTTTACTGAATAAACATGATCAAATTTTATCCTCTACGGTAAGAGTACAAACTTCTTCATCAGCTGAGTAACAACATGGCGCCCGCTTGTTACTGAGTTTGCCGAACTCTATTTACGGCTCTGAACAGTGGTCACTTGAGCTGTTGATATGGATGGATTTAATGTTGCATTCTTTCAAGTGTTCCCAGTTATACAAGAATAGCTGATCTAGATCATGAACAAACACTCGACAGTGGCTGAACTGTCTAGATACCTTGTTTGTATACCTGAACTGTCAAGGCACTGACATATTGGAAATTGTATGCCTGCATTGTCTATGTACACTGTATAGTCTCTATATAGTACATGCTGAACTGTACACAGTACCTGCTTTGTTTAAATATATGCTAAACCAACTGTAGAGTGATTTTAATGAATAACTATGGGGCTGACCAGGATTATGGACAAATAAAGGCTACCTGTGTTCACTTTCATTTACTGTACCACACTGAGATGGATATTTTAACAGTAGAGATGTAGATAAGGCAAAGAGAGAAGAGTAGGACTCCTAACTCCTGGAACAGGTCTCTGAACAACTTGTGGTGGTACTCCAAACTACTTCATGTGAGAAATGGGGACTCCTTACTCCAACCAGGTGAGGAATTATGAATTTCTAACTGCAACATGTGAGGAACAGGAACTCTGTGCGAACTGAAGGACCTACCCAGACCACGTGGTGGATGTGCTAAACATCTGCAGCTGTAGTGAGAGAGGGGCCCTTAGCACCTAGGTACGAAGGCCATCCAAACAGTGGGAAGGCTTAGTTGACACCAAAAAGAGGTGACAAGACTGTTTGCAAGACCAGCTCCCACAGAACCAATGTTTCTTATATTTTTGTACTGAAAGCTTTTGTCAATCAAGTAACCAACTCCCCAATTTCACCATATGTAACTTATTATCTCTGCTTATTGTATATTTTCAGCCTTCACACACACACACACACACACACCATCTGTGAGGGAATTACTAAACCACATCAGGCTCCTCATAACACCATCTGTGAGGGAATTACTACACCAGGTCAAGCCCGTCATAACACCATCTGTGAGGGAACTACTACACCACGTGATGCCCCTCAAAAACACCATCTGTGATGGAGTTACTACACTATGTGTCTGTTGTTCAACACCTCAGCGCACAAGATCTACGAGACCTCCACCATAAACATTAATCTGTATATTCACTGTATGTTCCTTTACCTTTCTCAAATGAAGGCTTTTGTTAAACCACCAATGTATGTAATAAGTCATTTATGTCCGTCCAATGTATACCAATGTATATTTTCAGCCTTTCGGCTGCAGAACTTTTTCAATAAACAGTTAATTATTATTATTATCACACAAAGTACAGGTGACAACTGACATGTCCTCTGTAGTCCAAAGCTGATCACCAGAAGGTTGTAATAGCAATATAAACAATAAAATATTTACTGTTACTACAATAATTCTTCCATTTACAGTTTTACTTCAACAGTAAAATTATTTTGTCAAATAATTGTTACTGTTCTCATGTTACTGATTTATTCTTTGTTTCATTTTTTACAAATCTTTAAGTTTATCTTATGAGTTCTGTACGCTCATGTGAAAAATATAGCCACTTAAACTGGAGCAGAAAACGCTGACTAACTTTTCTACATCAGCTCCACTAAACTGATGAGAAAAACTAAAATTTCAGTGAATGTGATGGATGGAGAGGAATGGCTGTACATACACATTAAGCATTACAGCTACTGGACAACAAGACTGTACTGTACTGTACTGTACTGTGCTCTCACAAAATGCAGACCAGACATGACAGCTACACAAGCAATTATGAAATAAGAATAGCCACAAGTAGTGTGCATAAGCATTACAAAATGGCAGAAACTGTGGTCTTGACCAACACAAGACAAGACAACACAACACAACACAACATTAACTACATCAGAGTCCACAATATTCCACATGGTCATCACTTACCGCACATGGGAACTTCTGTATGAGCTTGAAATAAAAAATAAATACATAATTACCTCAGAGATAATGTCAAGTTACAAAAGATATAAATTTTTGACATGTAGTAGATGGTCAGAGTAAGTTTTGAAGTGAGAGAATTAAGAGATATTATCTTATGTGTACTGAACCGTACACTGTACTGTACCAATATGCTGTATAGTATTCCATCTACCCAATACTGTACAGTACTGTATAACCATTTCCCAAAATAATAAAGTAAAATTTATTCCACATTATCAAAAAATGTACTTGTACCAACATTCATAAAATATACAACACTACCTATATTATTTAACTCCTCTTAAAACAAAGCTGCCTTCTGTGGAACTAAACACAAACAAAAACAAACATTCTGTTTCAGCTTCACCATTTCTTCTCACCCTCCAAGTCCTACAAACTTTCCATTCAAAATACAGCTGAATAATTGCTTTTAAGTCCTGTACAGTACATATGACCCATACAGACAACTACTGTACAATGTTGATGTTTTGATAATTCAGAAAAACACGAATCATGACCAACTTAGAAAGGGGATGGAGATCATATACTGTACTGTATTAGGGGTACAGTACAGTTAAACAGTTAGGAAGGGGATGGAGATCACATACTGTACTGTATTAGGGGTACAGTACAGTTAAACAGTTAGGAAGGGGATGGAGATCATATACTGTACTGTATTAGGGGTACAGTACAGTTAAACAGTTAGGAAGGGGATGGAGATCACATACTGTAAGGACTAAAAACAGTACGAACAGACCGCTGTAATGTCATAAACTTTAGCTTCGCCTCGTTCAATGACATCACACTTGTTATGCACATCATCTGGTGACAGCCTTGCCTTGATTGATGTTTGATTTTTTTCATTTTTTGAGAATGCTTGTAAGGCTGAGACTTCTGCAGCCAGGTTCAACAGAATGAATGCTTTATGTTCTCATAGTCCTCCAAAAAATAAGTGATTTAGAAAAAACAAAACAAAACAAAATATTTGTTGATCATGTTTTAATAAACTTAAACTAATTATATCAGTGTAACATTGCGTGCTAATTAGTAGGTCATAAATGCTTACAACTGATAATAAATGCTAACCCCAAAATAACTCGAGCTGTGTATGTAATGGTAATACAGTACTGTATTATACTGCCTAGGTAAATATAATTTAAATACAATAGGCAAATGGGGCACCAGCTGGTTAACAGTCAAAATAGGTTATGACTTATAAGAGTTTGCCTGGCTACTTTTTTCAAGACTTTTTTATGCACCACTTGGAGCACTATTGTTAACATATATCAGTTCTTTATAGCTAATTATGATTTACACCATCCAGTATATATGCATCAAATTGAAAACGGGTAGAATATAATCTGGTTTGGGACTGGCAAGATAGGGTATGGCTCTTGGGTAAGGCCAGAGGACACACCCCATGGTTATACAGAAAAATCTTTGACCAAACATTGCTCCTCTGGGTTGATTTAACTGCCCCATCCTTTCTCCTTATGGTTACCTGATTAATGAGCACCACTATATGTGCTAAGCCTTACAAATACATACATGACACTAAATTCAGATGCTGTGCGATATATCTCGGTCATTTTCAAGATTACCGAGACCGTTGGTCTTAGTTTCCTTTACAGTTTGGCTGTTTTCGGTAATAACAAAGGATTTACAGCACATAATCCCTCTTTTACATTCCTCCCGATATTTTTCATATTTCCTTCTCCTCTACCCATTAATTTAAACCTCTCCCTCGCTTCTCTCTTTCTTTCTCTCCCTTTTGTACCTTTCTCCATTTTTTTATCTCTCTCTACAGTAGAGAGAGAGAGAGAGAGAGAGAGAGAGACTTGACTCACTACAGTAACATCACACCTCCTCCAATACAACACCTTCTTTGCCTCAACAAAGATTAGTGGAATATCAGTGTTGTGGTGATACAACTGGGGGGTGATAGAGTTCCACCAACGACACAGATCAGTACTGTACACCATCTAGTACACTACTTGGTGTTGTAGGAAGTACAAGGTACCAACATCCTCTAGTACACGTGACTTTTTTTCTCATGTGTGTTGGGGTGAGTATTGGGGTATGGTGTGGTGGTGATTATGGTAGTGCTGTGTTAGGGTGATTATGGTGGTGATGTGTTGGGGGTGATTATGGTGGTGATGTGTTGGGGGTGATTATGGTGGTGATGTGTTGGGGGTGATTATGGTGGTGATGTGTTGGGGGTGATTATGGTGGTGATGTATTGGAGCAACTGCTGTAATAGTGATAATAATGTTAATAATAAAATGTTTGTGTGTAAGTGACTGAACATTTGTGCAACTAAGATTTTGAGGGAAATAGTGTAACCGAGATGAGAAACTTGGGATGGCTCAAGTGTACAAACTCTCTAATTTCAGTGTACACTACAGTAACCTCACACTGAGACTTGACTCACTACAGTAACATCACACTGAGACTTGACTCACTACAGTAACATCACACTGAGACTTGACTCACTACAGTAACATCACACTGAGACTTGACTCACTACAGTAACATCACACTGAGACTTGACTCACTACAGTAACATCACACTGAGACTTGACTCACTACAGTAACATCACACTGAGACTTGACTCACTACAGTAACATCACACTGAGACTTGACTCACTACAGTGACACCACACTGAGACTTGACTCACTACAGTAACATCACACTGGGACTTGACTCACTACAGTAACATCACACCTTCTTTGCCTTAACAGTTCTACAGCACCAGTTTAATTCTTCAGCAAATAACCTTTTCTCTGTTTTCACAATTACAGCATAAAAATCACTTGTGTCCGGTTATGCAAAAAACTTATTTTAACAAAGTTGTATTGGATAATATGAAGCAACTTACAAAAGATTCTCACAACCCTACCAAAACAGCAGACATTGTAGTGTTCATTCTGAGATTCACTAACACCCCCCCCCCCAGTAAAGAAATTTTTTGAGCGACTGTACACTCTAATTTCCTTCACTTAATATTTGTGTCAGTACTCTACCCCAAGACATTCAAGCTTCTTAACATATTTTCTATTATCCTCAGTTGTTATGTTCCTGTCTAGACATTCTTATTTTATTTAACTTACCTTCAGCTGAATTCACTGTCAATATTACTACTGTACTCAAAACCACTGAAGAGGAAATAGTCAATTCATTCCCTTCCTCTGACACCTAAGTGTGATAATAACTTTCCCCAAATTATTATTTATTTTAATTTCTCAATGTTATCTTTACTTCACACTTAAGAACTCTCTACCAATGTGATCATTATTTAACAGTACCTCAATATCTTTCTACACTATTAACTGAACTGTCTCTCATGATAAACCCTTACAAGTGTTAATAAAGTGCAAATAAATGTATCCTGGTTTTTGTCAGTATATTTCTGTGTCTTTAAGTGCTTTTATGTGCCTCTGAATGCTTCTATGTAATAATTAGGCCTTATCATGGTGTGTAAAGTATTTATCTTTGCGATCGCCATTAAAATCGCCAGTGCAGTACTGTATCTCTAATCACTGTACATCAATTTACTTGGTTACAAAAGATTCCATTTTGAACTGGTTAAAACCTTAATTGTTTTTTCTTCAGAATCTTCCCAAGACCTTTTTTATTTCAAATATAATGCACAGTACTCTACTGGCATTCCTAAAACCACCCACAGGTACAAGAGAATTTGTTTTACAAGTGTAGCAAATAATACAAACACATCATCATCTACAGCCTTAGTTAGTGAATTATTTAACCAGGTGTCAGGGAAGACAGGACAACTTGCTATAATCCCACAACACAACTGTGGTTATGAAGCCACTAAGGTAAGGATTCATTTACAGTCCAAAAGTTCTGCCAACATTACAACCAAATCAACAGTTAATGAGTTCTATAACCCAGTATTGAGGAAATGCCTAAAAGACTCACCAACAGCACAGCTAGCCATTATCTCTATTTGAAAATTTGGCAAATAATGTAGTCCCCTTCGCCTTCCCTAGTGCATTTACAGGGGCTCATCTGGTTTTGTGCAATGTGGCAGCCCTGTGTTTGTTTAGATTCGACAGAAGTAAACTCAGAATAGTAAGCATACTACGTATAGAATCAAATTAAAACAAAGGAACAAAGAATTTCTTGAAAAGTTTTGCCTAACCTGGAAAATGTAACCAGTAGCACTTTCTTACAAAGTGAGCTCACTAAAAATGTACAGGACCTCACAGAAACCTTACACACAAGCTGTTGATAAATTCCTCTCCTATATCCTTCTATGCTTAAGTCTTGTACTTGTTTTGGGGATTACTGGCCACTTCGCCTTTAGGCTATTTCGGCCCTTAAGTCTCTCTTCCCATTCCAGATGTCACTTCATTGCCCTCCTTTTTTCATTTATCATTTTCAAATGCTCAAAGCTTCAATGAATTCCATTCTCCACTCTTACATGTTTCCTTCTGTGTAATATCTGTCTCTTTACACTTTTAATCCATTCTTCTCTAACTCTAAAAAATATCTTGTTTTCTTCCATATGCATTAAGAGAAACTAGTACAGGAAAATCTTCTCAACACCATAAACCAACTTATGAAAGAGACAACATGAGGCAGTAGACCTTAGGTGAGGTTTACCGTGCATACACGACGCTATAAAGGTTAAGTACAGTGGCTGCCATGTATGTAAAACTATTTATTCTATTTAAATAAAAAATACATTCCATTTACATCGTGTGTTCTAGGGCATAATATAAAAGAGCAAAATCAAAATGTAGGAAACGAAGAGACAAGTGTTTACACTGAGTCAATCAAGAAAAACAGCAACAACACGCAAGTGAACTCTTTCATCATCTGTACAAATTTTAATCGCAATCAAAAAGTATCAGAAATGTCAGAAAAGAAGAGTTCATGGATGGTGACAACGGCACCAGTCAAGAGGGCTCATGATGGACTAACAAATCAACTTGAGTTAATGCACATTAAATGTACAATCAA